ATACGCCGAGAATGGCCAAGTTTGGGGTAGACACGTGTTGTGTTTCTGGCCAGATTCATAGGCTTAGAAATGCAACAAAACTTATATTTCATTTTAAGTTCACCTTTCTTCCAACTTGTATCATTGTGGCTAATAACTTGCATAACTATTTGCCAACATCGATTTATTTGTCGTTCGTTGGGCGCATTGAAAAGGGACTAATTTGTAAATGTTGGGACTTTGAGTTCGATACGACCGGCTTATTCGTAATTGAAACGACCCCCACACTCTCTTTTGTATGCATATGCAATGTTAACCAATGGTAAATGAGCCTCTCCAACCCCGTTCCATTTAAGCTTTCAAGCGTGACGTAAAATGAGAATAAACCTTTCAAGTTTTTATATAAATTTATTTTATTATTAATTTATTATTAAAATAAATATAACTTCTTATCTTGCAAAATTCAATTTATTTTAACGGAACCGGTTTCGACTAGTTTTACTTAGACATCTTCAGCCGAATCTACAATTATATTTTAATTACAATTTAATAATTAAAAATTAAAATTCTTATAGAACTTACGGTCAATAAAATAAAATCAACATCACAAAGAGCAGACATATAAAAAACATTTTAAAAATATGAAATTACACTTTAAAATACAATATATTACAAATAATTAAACTGTAAAAAGACAAAAACTATACAAGTTCCTACACAAACGATATAGGAGTATAAAATAACATTAAAATGGATGACCTTTAAAACTTGTATGAAACACACATGCCAAGATAGAAACAGGTAAACGAAATGAAAAAGCGGCGATTTCGAAAAATAAAATCAAATATTTCTTAGACATTGAAAAAGCGTGTAAACTTCATATCCATGAAGTTGAAGAAGTGATGTTGATTTTATTTTATTGACCGTAAGTTCCATAAGAATTTTAATTTTTAATTAAAATATAATTATAGATTCGGCTGAAGATGACTAGTCGAAACCGGTTCCGTTAAAATAAATTGAATTTTGCAAGATAAGAAGTTATATTTATTTGTTTATTATTTTAATATTTAAACGAAACTTGCAACATGGATATCAACAGTTATAATTAAAACTAGAACTAACACTAGACCTAGAACTAGAAAGTTTCGGGAATGTTTCTAGGTCTAGTGTTAGTTCTAGTTTTAGTCCAATAGTTTTACTTGAATTTTTGCATATTTGAGCTAAGTGGAGGTTTTGACCAATTTAATCTAGTGTGCTTGATTTTTCTTATCTTTTGTTTTTCTGGAAAATTTAGCAGATTTAGAGGTTGAGCAGAATTTCTGAATTACTTAGTTAAAGCTGTATCGTATTCCACATCATTTATATCATCGAACTGAGAAAAAAATTATTTTTGTCCCGGCCATTTTTTAAAATCCGGTCGGATAACGGATAGTTACCAAATATCCGGATATTAAAAACCTATTACTTAGTAGAACTAAAATTAGAACTAAAACTAGAACTAACACTAGAAACTTTTGGGTTTTGCCGTGCACCTTCTTCAGAAACTGGTTCGAAATGAGTCACAAACCTTTCCTTAAAAGACGCACGGCGAAACCCGAAAGTTTCTAGTGTTAGTTCTAGTTTTAATTTTAATTTTAGTTTAATTAACACCGGCCGTGAAAGCCTTCGTACTTATACTATTACTTAGTACTCCACCATTCACAGGAATTAGTAGCTCTTTTAGGTGTTGGACACTGCAGATAATAATCAAGTTCAACCCCAATAGGACTTTTTTCATTGAATACAACTTTATTTATATCAGGTTTGTCATTAGCAACCTCATGTCTTGTTGCAGTTTCGTCTAGTTTTCTTCTCTTCGATTATTAATTCAAGTATTCTCTTTTTAGTGCAAAAAGCCGTTTTGAAAAATCACTTTCAGTTCTTGAGAAATAAATTTTTGAAATGATTGACAATTTTTTCGAATTTTGCAATTTTCGCCGATTAAGTTTTAAAAATTCGTATAAAATCCAGTTCTTGGAATATGAGTATGAAAATTTCTCATAGTGTTAATAAAAGTGTCCTCTTTCTAATAAATCAACCCATTTTGAAAAATAACGTTTAGTTTTTGAGAAAACAATATTTGAAGTTTTGATAAAATTTTCGATGTTGCAATTTTCATCGATAATTTTCAAAATTCGCTATAAAATTAATTTCTTGAAGGATCCTTGTGGAAATATCACCAATTATTAATTAAAGTATCCTCTTTTTAATGCAAAAAGCCGTTTTGAAAAATCACTTTTAGTTCTTGAGAAATAAATTTTTGAAATGATCGACAATTTTTTCGAATTTTGCAATTTTCGCCGATTAAGTTTTAAAAATTCGTATAAAATCCATTTCTTGGAATATGAGTATGAAAATTTCCCAAAGTGTTAATAAAAGTGTCCTCTTTCCAATGAACCAACCCGTTTTGAAAAATAACTTTTAGTTTTTGAGAAAACAATATTTGAAGTTTTGATAAAATTTTCGATGTTGCAATTTTCATCGATAATTTTCAAAATTCGCTATAAAATTAATTTCTTGAAGGATCCTTGTGGAAATATCACCAATTATTAATTAAAGTATCCTCTTTTTAATGCAAAAAGCCGTTTTGAAAAATCACTTTTAGTTCTTGAGAAATAAATTTTTGAAATGATCGACAATTTTTTCGAATTTTGCAATTTTCGCCGATTAAGTTTTAAAAATTCGTATAAAATCCATTTCTTGGAATATGAGTATGAAAATTTCCCAAAGTGTTAATAAAAGTGTCCTCTTTCCAATGAACCAACCCGTTTTGAAAAATAACTTTTAGTTTTTGAGAAAACAATATTTGAAGTTTTGATAAAATTTTCGATGTTGCAATTTTCATCGATAATTTTCAAAATTCGCTATAAAATTAATTTCTTGAAGGATCCTTGTGGAAATATCACCAATTATTAATTAAAGTATCCTCTTTTTAATGCAACAAGCCGTTTTGAAAAATCACTTTTAGTTTTTGAGAAATAAATTTTTGAAATGATCGACAATTTTTTCGAATTTTGCAATTTTCGCCGATTAAGTTTTAAAAATTCGTATAAAATCCATTTCTTGGAATATGAGTATGAAAATTTCCCAAAGTGTTAATAAAAGTGTCCTCTTTCCAATGAACCAACCCGTTTTGAAAAATAACTTTTAGTTTTTGAGAAAACAATATTTGAAGTTTTGATCAAATTTACGATGTTGCAATTTTCATCGATAATTTTCAAAATTCGCTATAAAATTAATTTTTTGATGGATCCTTGTGGAAATATCACCAATTATCAATTAAAGTATCCTCTTTTTAATGCAAAAAGCCGTTTTGAAAAATCAACTTCAGTTCTTGAGAAATAAATTTTTGAAATAATCAACAATTATTTCGAATTTTGTAATTTTTTGCCGATTAAAGTTTTAAAAATTCGTATAAAATCCAGTTCTTGGAATATGAGCATGAAAGTTTTCCAAAGTGTTAATAAAAGTGTCTTTTTTCCAATGAACCAACCGGTTTTGAAAAATAGCTTTTAGTTTTTGAGAAAACGATATTTGAAGTTTAGATAAAATTTTCGATGTAGCAATTTTCATCTTGCGGTTATCATTGCCGGATAACCGCAAAATCAGTATCCGTTTCATCACTACTCTCTAGAAACAAGACTTTCTTAAATTTTGCAAATTTCTGGTTGAGCAGAATTTCTGATCAAATCAGCTTGACTTGCATCGTAATCTTCATCAGTTTAAAAGAGCAAATATGGACAAAAAAATCTTTTGCCATTTCTTATTTCCTTTGAAACCCAGTTTTCCTTGAATTTTACCAAATTTCGAATTGTACACAATTTCTGATTAATTTAATTTAAATGACATTGTGTTCCTCATTGTGTATATCATCCAATAGAGAAAAAAAATTATTTTATCATGTTGTAGTTCTGTAGAAATAGATTTTTCCTATATCTTTGCAAATTTCGGGTTAAGTAAAATTTCTAATCAATTTAGTTTGACTTGAATTTTATTAGACAGAGCCCGTACTTCCAACCTAAGTCAAGATAAGTTAGAGACAGAATTAAACATAGTATAGATTACAATAATAATTTTCCTTAAGATAAAATAGAGAAATTTGTTAATGTGAAACTAAAGAAATTTTACCTCACCAACAAAACTACATTAATACTAGAAGAAACCCCGAGGCTGAAACATTTAGATCCATACTATACCAGGGTGAAATCAATAAAAAAAATAGGAAAGATATTTAAAAAATATAACATACAACTTTCATGCAAGAACAATTACACATTAGGTAAATTACTAATAAATAATAAACTACAATATGGAACATGCATGGCAACATACATAGGACAGACGGGCAGAAAATTAGGACAGAAAATTTATGAACACACAACCAAACAAAATTTAAACTTCGGTAAACATCCGACGTTCAACATGAGCAGAATTTCTGATCAACTTTGTTAGATCTATATCGTATCGTATTTTCTCTAAAAACAGGTTTATCTTATATCTTTGCAAATTTCAGGTTAATTAGCATTTCTGATCAATTTAGTTTGATTTACATCATCGTAAAACAACAAATATAGACAAAAAAATCTTTGGCATTCTTGATTTCGTTTGAAAATCAGTTTTCCTTGAATTTTAGCAAAATTTCGAAATGATCAGAATTTCTGACAAATTTAATTTAAATCGCATCACATTCCTCATCGTTTATAGATAAAAATACACAAAGAAAATTATTTCTGCCACCGTTTATTTCTATGGATATATGGCTTTCTTGTAATTCAAATCGATTTATGGTTTAGCAGAATTTTTCATCAACTTAGCTTCAAGTGCATCGTATGCCTCATCGTCTATAGCTACAAATAGAGCAAGAAAATTATTATTCTAACGTTGAATAAGAATTAAAACTAGAACTAGAAACATTCGGGTTTAGCATTAATATATGATACACATATATTTATTATTTATTTTGTTCTTTTTTTTAATTTCAGGTTTTCATATGGCACCGAGATTAAACGAAATTTTTCCTGAATCATGTTTATTAATCGTCGTGGGAGTAGTAATTGGAGTTGTTTTGGTACATCTAACCGATTCAGTTCATATGTCACCATTAACCCCGGAAACATTCTTCTTCTACATGTTACCACCGATAATCTTAGACGCCGGATACTTCATGCCCAATAGATTATTCTTTGATCATTTAGGAACGATCTTATTGTTTGCTGTAATTGGAACCATCTTCAATACATTAACAATCGGTAAGGTTAGATTTTTTCTTTTTTCAAAAATTTGTCACTCAAGATTAAGAAAGTTTTGAGACATTTTGAAAGAACAATTCGATCGGGTTAAAATTGACTAATACCGGATCAATTTGGAAACGAGGTTAGACACCTTCGAGTGAGATGAAACGATCGAGACTTTAAACGGTGTGTTTCAGAGACGCCCTTTCCACGAAATACTCTTTTAAATATAGGCTTTCGGTGTGAGACGAACCTCGCGTTCTATAATTAAAATGCACACATCCGAGCCCATTTCGACCAGTTCGAACCGCTTTCGATTGCGAGTTTCGAACCGAAGAAAACATGTGTACCGCACGATTTCAAGAAACTACGCATCTTCGTTAATGAATAACGATCAAACCTAAAGTCTCACGTTAATTTATTCCAATTCGAGATAATTACCCCAAGCATTCTCATTTCGAATAATCGTTTTGTTTTAGGCACATCACTTTGGGCTGTTGGTTGTACAGGACTTTACGCCACCACACACGAAATAACTCTTTTAGATATGTTACTCTTCAGTTCGTTGATATCGGCAGTCGATCCAGTTGCTGTATTAGCCGTATTTGAGGAGATTCAAGTAAACGAAATTTTGTATATAGTCGTTTTTGGGGAATCACTTTTAAACGATGCGGTTACCGTTGTACTTTACCATATGTTTGAGAGTTATAGCGAGATGGGGCTTAAAAATATTTTATATACAGACCTTTTGGCTGGATTTGCCAACTTTTTTGTTGTTGCATTCGGCGGTACCGTTATCGGTATTATTTGGGGATTTGCTACCGGGTTTGTAACACGATTCACCAATGAAGTACGTGTTATCGAACCAATTTTTATATTCGTTATGGCATATTTGGCCTATTTGAACGCTGAAATATTTCACATGTCTGGAATATTAGCGTAAGTATTTATTTATAATAAAATTACACAAAAAAAGCATTAATTTTCCATAACATTCAAAATTAAGCGTACTATTTCAATTAATATTTTGGCATTAATTTTGTAATTTTCTTAATCTTTACGAAAAATCGTTTAATTTGAATCCAAACACAACTTATTTTGATACAAAACTTTTCGAGTTATTTTAATTTTTATTTTTTATAAAAAACAAGATGGCCGAAAACAAATGATCCGTAAATATTGCGGGAGATAATTAAAAATCGTATAAAATGAGTCCAAACTCGATATATCTAAGTGTTATAACAACCAAGATATCCTTGTTTTTATAAAATCAAGATGGCCGAAAACAAAACACTAAAAATTGTGCCATCTATGTTTTTAAGAATGAATTTTATGAGGGATATAGGGTGTGATACATTAAATTAGGTTAAAATTTTCTGATTTTTATGAAAATCTTATTCTTTATGACGGTTTTGAAAAATTTAATTCCATAAAACGTAATCACTATAATTTTGAATTTAAAATTTGTTTTAAATTTGTCACGGTATTACTCGATAAATGCCAAATTCCGGTTATAAATGTAAATGGCAGTGCACTAAACATTGACTTGCATCCACTTTATCGATTGGTTGGCATTAAAATAGAACTGTATTAGTCATAAACACGCCATGGTTAAGTAAAAAAAGTAAAATACCTGTTTCCATATTGCTAAATTATTTCAAAGAGGATTTGCAATAAATTGCTCAAATTTTGGGCAAGATAAATCATTCACTTATTACTAATTGAGTCTCCTTCCATATCTTCGGGAAGTTGCCAATCCTTAGGCTATCATTAAAAATATGCAGGAAGGCCTCCGGGTCCGCTTCAATGCGATCTAAGTATCTCGTTGGTGATGTTATCTGTCCGAAGAGCTTTTCTGGCCTTCAGATGATCAAGCCTTCTTGATGAAGGAATCGTCCTGCACCTCTATCCGTAATGGTGGATTTCTTCCATTGAGTTCTTCCAAGACTTGAGGACGAGTTTATAGTACTTTTTCACTTCTTTTCTTTCTCTATTAATAGATACTTACAGATTTTGAAATCCAATCCTTTGAAGTCCTGAGTAATTGGGATTTCATGAACCTTATAGGAACAGTGAAAGTTGGCTTCTTTCATTTCAGACATAAACCTTACAGTTGATTAAAAATCATCGCAGCATCAAGAATAAGATTATCATTATGATTCGTTGAATCTTCTTATTGCATTTGTTGTTATTATTGTTTTTTTTTATGAGCATTATTTACCAATTCGTATTCCAATTCGAGTGATACTTTAGTACAAAGAATTGTGAGTTTGAGAACTTACTGTGTTTATTTTCATACGAAATCTAAACCAAGCAGTTCTCGCAGAATAGCTCTCTAAACACAATGTCATAAAGTATTCATTTACAAGTTCAATGAACAAAGGCCACACTCATAAAATTTCTTATAACAAATAGCAAAAAATAGGTTGTTAATTTAATACAGCCACAACAACATTAAGAGTTATTGAGCTTTTTGATCTGGTAACTTAAACTTACCTTGAGATTCAGGACATTCAATTGATTATGACATTGCCTGATAATCATCTAGTGTACTATTTTTGCTACACAGACGATGTGTCTTTTGAGGTGTTTTTGGTACTTCTAAATATTTTTTAGTTATTGCACATTAATAACTGTACTTTTCAAGAACATCTGCGTATTGTTATTATAATAAGTAGCTTTTGCACACTTGATCCTGGATGATTGTAACAAATCTATCTGTCTCTTTAAAGGTGTTTCTGCTGCTTTAGCATCAATATTGCTATTATTACCAAAAATTTTATATGAAGCAGCATTTTCCATCATGTTTTAAGATGTAATGACATGGATATTTGGTCATATTGCACGATTCTACAAGATGATGATAAAGATACCAACTTTATCCAACGTTTGCACTTTCTGTTCCTGGTTCTTAAACAAAGTCTTACCATTTCAAAGTTGTACATAAGAACCTAGAGCAAGAAATTGTGCCATCTTACATTTAAAGTGTAAACTGTGTTGTGTCTATTTCTTCTTTACTTAATTTTTAAACCATTGCTGTTTCTCTGTGTGGAAGGACTGCTAGGTTGCTATGTTGATTAGGAAATAGTTTGTGATTGTCTAAATACCACAGGTGATTTATATGTTGGTGTTGACTCCTGTATGTGAACCTTTTGCTGCGAAAAAGTGAGATCTTGCACAAAATACAGTACACCAATAGTTTGGTTTTTGATTCTTTTTGCTGAATTTTGTATTTTAGCAAGAGTTATAGTTGTATAGAAGAAAACTAAGTCCTTCTCATAGTTTTAGACAAGTTTTTGTCCGATTTTGTAATAGCATTTGTAAACCCAGACCAACCCCGCCTTAGTGTCTCTTTTTTAGAAGACGTCGATAATTATTATCATATTTTGTAGCATTAAATTTATGGTCAGATGATACTCAGCAGATTATGACTAAGCAGCATCTAATCTCTAACCTTGTACCACACTTCTCATGGAAGGAGAAGTGTGGTATCATAACTTCTCTTTATGAATTAGTGAAGCTATCTTACTTTACACAGTACATTTAAATCGTTAAAAATACTTAAGACAAAAGAAAAATATTGGATTTTCATTACATCGACATTCATGAACTTTACACATTCTGTTTTCTTTTTTCTTTCCAGTCTCTGTTCGGTGTTTTTTTCTGTTATCAACCCATTTTCTCTTTTATCTAATGTATTTTTTTCTTTCCAGTCTCTGTTCAACCTCCTTTCTGTCTTTCCAATATCTATTCATCAACTTTCTTCTATTACCAGCCTCTTTTCTGCACTATGCTCTTCTGTCTAATCCCTTTGTTGCTTTGAGAGCCTCTGCTTAGTCTCTTTATCTTATTACCGGTATCTTTTCTAATTTTTTCTCTTCTATTTAATCTTTCTTATATTTCAACCTTATTTAACTCTAAGTAGCCTTTGCCCAGTCACTCTTCCTCTTTCCAAAGACATATCACTATGTTTATTGTCTCTTTTTGCTGTTACCAGCCTCCTTCTTGCCTTTTGCCACTTTTCTTCGTCTCATTCTTGTATCACCAATATATTTCTAATACTCCTCTTCACTGTTAACTCCCTTTCTGGTTCACCATTATACGGTATTATAGATAAAAGATTTTATGGTAAAGCATGTATTGTTTCGAACTCGGTATTTGTACAACTCCTCCTCTTTCCATTTTACGTATCTCGTCCTCCATCTTATACTTAAAGTGTGAATTGCGTTGTGTCTATTTCTTCTTAACTTAATTTTAAACCATTGCTGTTTCTCTGTGTGCGAGGACTGTCAGATTGCTATCCCGATTAGGATACAGTTTGTGATTGTCTAAATACCACAGGTGATTTATATGTTGGTGTTGACTCCTGTATGTGAACCTTTTGCAGCAAAAAGTGAGTTCTTGCACAAAATAGAGTACACCAATAGTTTCGTTTTTGATTCTTTTTGCTGAATTTAGTATTTTTAGTCAGAGTTATAGTTGTATAGAAGAAAACGAAGTCCTTCTCATCATTTTAGACAAATTTTTGTGCGATTTTGTAATAGCATTTGCAAACCTAGACCAACCCCGCCTTGGTGTCTCTTTTTTAGACGAGGCGCGACGGCGTCAATTATTATCATATCTTGTAGCATTAAATTTATGATCAGATGATACTCAGCAATACTAACAGGTTATGACTTAACAACTCTATAATTTAACCTTATATCAATCTTCATAAAAGGAGCTTTTTTGAATTAATGAAGGCAGCTTACTCTAAAGAGCACTTTTAAATCATTAAAACTACTTGAGATAACAACAAGATACTAGATACTATTTTCATTACATCAACATTCGTGAAGTTTACACATTATGTTTCTGCTTTTTTTTCTTTCCAGTCTCTGTTTAGTCTTTTTCTTCGGTTACCAACCCACTTCTTATCATTTGAGTCTTTCTTTAGACTTTATCTTCTATTACCAACCTCTTTCCAATTCTCCTCTTTCTAGTCCCCCTCTTAGCTATCTGATATTTTTTCTCTTTCCAGTCTCTCTTCAACCTCCTTTCTGTCTCCCCAATGTCTATTCAGCAACATTTTTCTATTACCAGCCTCTTTCCTGAACTACGCTCTTCTGTCTAATCCCTTTGTTATTTTGACAGCCTCTGCTTAGTCTCTTTATCTTATTACCGGTATCTTTTTTAATCTTTCTTACATTTCAACCTTATTTAACTCTAAATCGCCTTTGCCCAGTCACTCTTCCTCTTTCCAAAGACATATCATTATCTTTATTGTCTCTTTCTGCTGTTACCAGTCTCCTTCTTGCCTTTCGCCACTTTTCTTGGTCTCATTCTTGTATTACCAATATATTTCTAGTACTCCTCCTCACTGTTAAGTCCCTTTCTGGCTTATACTATCTCTCTTCAATTTATTTCCTGTGCCCTCCTTCCTATCTAATATTTCTTTCTGTCAGGTTCTGCCCTGCACTCCTCTTTCTGCCTAGTTCCTTTGGGGCCTTTATAGTGTCTGTTCAGTGTCGGCCCGCCCTCCTTTCCTCAGTCTCTTTCTCCTGTTGCCAGCCCCCTTCTTGTTATTTGACGCTTTCTTCAGATTCTTTCTTCTATTATCAAGCTCTTTCTAATACTCCTCTTCTCTGGTTAGTCGTCTTCTTACCTTTACTGCTTCTTTTCAGCTTACTTCCAGTCCTTCTATTCTCTATTTAATGCCAATCTCTATCCAGTATAATTCTTCTATTATCAGTAAATTTTTTGTACTCGTCTTCTCTGTCTAATTCCTTTGCGGTTTTTACAGTGTCTGTTCAATTGCTATTCAGTCTTGTTGCCTCGGCCCAGTTAGCTTTTCCTTTTTCCAATTTCTGTTCAGTACCTGTCCAGATTGTCACTCTACTATCTTGCTATTCCTTTTCTTGCATTTACAGCATCTCTTTATTCGCTCATGATTTTAGACGCAATTGAGAGAATTGCGAAGATTATGCATTATCTATGTAACTTCGAAATTTATTATTCACACCAGTCTGCAACGTAAAGTTTTGCTTTAGACTAAATATTTTAGAGATCTCTATCTTTTTCGAAAGATAGAGTTTGTAATATTATTTTTGGGAACTAAGATATTATTTTTAAACCTCCTTTTTGTGAGAGAGAATTAAGTGTATCTACGATGTATCATAACCGGTGAATTAAGTTCGATTATTAACTTTCAGTTTGTTATGGTCTATCTTAAAATAGAAAGATTAATTCCCGTAAACAAACAAAAATGTGTAATTTTTAATTTTTCAACAACCTTAAACTGTCAACAAAAAAGTTTAAAAGTCATTCTAACATTATTTTTAGATCTTATGATGTTATTTTTATAACAAGTTTGTTAGTCAAAACCTAATTTATTTGTTATTTATTTGACTTTTCAGATAATGCGAAAACCTTTACTTAGAAAATAATTCGGCGAATCCAAATTTTTTATATTTAAAAAAAAACTGTTTATCTATATGAATTTAACCTCAGTACTAGATTTGTTTGTTTTTCACTAGAACTGTTAAATTTACTCTCAATTTCGTAAATGTCGAAAAACGTCGAGACGTCGGTTTCGGGATTATAACGAAATTGTTGGAAGGTATCCAACCGATAGAGACCTACTCGGACCTCACACGAATTGCAAATTAAATGCCTGGCGAGTGAGGCCTAAATTCTTTGGGATCTTGAGATATCTCCTCAAATTAATGAAATTGTTGCGTAGTACAACCGGAAACGTTTATAAAAAAACGAAAACGAAATATTTTTTTGTTTGAGGGTAAGACGCAAAAAAGGAAAATAAATAATAATAGAACAGGAAATATTTATAGAAACAACACATTCATGCCGAGTTTTTTTTTTGATGTACGATCAAAAACATTGCCAAAATAAAATTGAAAAAGTCCGTGCCAAAATATTACTTCCAGGAAATGTTTAATAGTTTTTAAAGATAATAAACTGACCACCTGTTATCGTTTTAATTTTTACTTAAACTTAAGTTTATCATAAATTTTAGGATTACGTTCTGTGGTATTACAATGAAAAATTACGTCGAAGCAAATATTTCGCATAAATCGCACACTACAATAAAGTATGCAATGAAAATGTTAAGCAGTTCATCTGAGACTATTATCTTTATGTTTTTGGGCGTAGCTACTGTAAATAAAGAGCACGACTGGAACACTTGGTTTGTCATATTGACAATTATATTTTGTTCGATTTATAGAACTTTAGGTAAAAAGTTATTTCTTTTTAACTTGTGCGACGGTAACAAAAAACTTTTACGTTTGTTTTTCCACCCACTTTGCAAGCCGATATCTTTGTTGTCTTTAGAGATAGCGAAATATTAAATACACCACTTTTTTGTTGGTTTTGTCTTGTCAGTATCATCAAAGATAGCTTGTCGACTATCAAAAAGCTGGAATGATAAATAAGCTTACACATAGAATCGGTATATTGATCTTTCCTAATAAAACTCTTTTATTTGGTTGGAACAAAAAGCTAAAGCAGTATCATTTATATAAGAAATTTTCCCCTCTATGCAGTGGTATATAACTTTATTAGATAGCATGGTTGCGCAAGCATAATTTTAATGATAGTTATGATGGTCTAATCATTTAGATACGGCGATTTTTGGGGGGAAATTGTTCATGTAACCATGCGGTCTACTAAATGTATACAGGGTAATTCAAATTCGACCCCCACCATTGGGATCTCAGAAACCATAAGAGATACAGAAATGGTTAAATGGGGGCAAAGTTGCGTATCTTAGAGCTCATTATTTTTCAACAAAGTTTTTGGATTTAGTCGTTTTAGTTTTTAAAATATGGCCGAAAAACAAAACAATGACTTTTTCGTTTTTTGCCTATAACTCCTTTATTTTTCGTTTTTTCATGAATCTGAAAAAACATTCTTAAGGCAACTTTTTTATGAAAAATGTCATGACACAATTAGAAATTTTCTCCGACGTTTGGTTTTCGTGAAACTATCATCAGGTACAATCAGGCACAATGTATGAATGGTAATCTGGGCAACTGTCTTGCTGAAAGTACATTGACCGTATAAAATTTAAGAGTAATTGGATTTACATCACTCCAATAACGACAATGCTGGGAAGAAACAATGGGCACATTGAGCCGGTGTCAACTGTTGAGTTGCTATATTAGCAGTCGCGGCTGAACGATAACGCTAAGTAAGCGCTGTTATGCAGCAGTTTAGTAAATATCTCAGCATAAGTAATCTGCGCTTAATTTGTCAGCGGTTGTGAAATTCTAGGTTAGGATTAACATTTTTTGTTTCTCCCCTTTAATTTTAAAAACTGACAAAACTGTATAAAAATGAATATTGTTAATGCAGAAACGCATCATCCACTACATCTTGTAATAGCACAAAATTTTCAAATATATTATTGTTAGCCATAGTTTTAGGTTATGCAGAACCGCTAATTCTCAATTGCTTGTTCAGCCGATTTCGTTCCGCTGTATTAAAGCTCATACAACTAGCTGACTGATTTGATTCAACTGTTGACACCTGCTGAACGTACCCAATGTCATTTGTTGAAAAGGTGCTTTCATCCGAAAATACAATAAATTTATGAAAATTACGGTTATTTAATATTTCATTACCAATCTCAAGACGGAAATCCAAAAGTTTGGAATTATAGCCGGCATGCAAAGCTGTCTAAATCGTGGTCTAAATAATTTAATTTTATTTTCTTTGTAAATTCTGAAGAGGTGCGATTCACTAATTTCAGTTTGTAACGCTCTTCTTCGAAGTGATAATTTTGGAGTTTCTTGAACAGAATTTAATGCTATTAGAGAAGCAGCGTCTTCCTTATTTAGTCTCTTTGTCTGCTTCTTAATGGTTAATATAGAACCCGTTTCCAAAAATTTTTTTATAAGTTTGCGAGCCCCAACACGAGATATTCTTGTATCCGAATAGTTTTGCTGGAATTTTTGTATAACTACACGAAAACATGATTCACGAGTACCATAGCACTGTACTAAATAAATTCTCTCTTTCACGGTTAACATCGCATGAAAAGACTAATCTCACTAACATAAGTTGTAACTTTTATGGTTTCTATGGTTACATATCATAAATTGGACTAGATAAATTTTCAAATTCGTGCAATTTAGTAGTTTAAACATATCCGACGCATTATTTATGCTGATAAGTTTGAAAAATCAGTAATAACAATTTTTTTCCTCTTTGTAATTCGATCCGGGGCATACTGTATATGGCAATTATACGCGGTTTTCGTAGTATTTGGTGGAAAATTTTTCATGTAACCATGCGATCTACCAAAAATATATACCATTGGATAGAGCGGAAAATTTTCTATAAGTTCTCTATGGTCATGGAGTTTTGTGTGTATCATATAAGAGAGTTATTTATGACGCCTTAAACATTTATACACTGCAATTATATGCAGTTTTTACAGTTTTTGCGGGGAATATGCTCGTGTAACCATGTGATCTACTAAATATATATACCATTAGATAGAGCAGAAAATTTCCTATGAGTTCTATATAGTCATGAAGTTTTGTACGTATCATATAAGAAAGTTATGACACCATAACATTTATACAGGGTGTTACACAAAAAACGCCCCAATCTGTAACTCTGTTATTTACATTCCGATTTTCATGACCCAGGTATCAAATAAAATGACGTGAAGAAAAATATATGGAGCAATTTGAAAAACAAAAGTTAATAATCGCCTGAAATTGAAGATGGCCTTGGAAAAAATTTATTTGTAGCATGAATCATAGCATTCATCAAACCATTTCATTTGATACTGCGCTCATGAAGATCAGAAGATAAATGACAGAGTTACAGCTTGGGGCGCTTTTTGTGTGACACCTGTATATGGCAATTATACGCAGTTTTCGTAGTTTTTGGTGGAAGATTGTTCGTGTAACCATGCAATCTACTAAAAATATATACCATTGGATAGAGCAGAAAATTTCCTATGAGTTCTATATGGTCATGGAGTTTTGTACGTATCATATAAGAAAGTTATGACGCCATAAACATTTATATGCGGCAATTATACGCAGTTTTCACAGTTTTCGAGGATAAAATGCTTGTGTAACCTGCGATCTACTATAGTTGTAACGGGTGTTTTCTTAAGACCGATAGAACTTTAAATTGAAAAAAGTAACACAAGAAATTAAATTTTAAACCAAAAAATGTTCTTGTTCGAAAGATCAATACATGGCATTTAACATTTAAAAATGATTTTGGGCATATGGGCACCGCGGCTGTTCTTGACGAAACGCATTCTGGCAGTCCAATTTTGGGCCCCTTTTTCGAGCATTGCTGGCCGTATGTCAGGAATAACACGAACAATGTTGGTCTCCAAGGTGTCAATTGTTGCGCGGCCCCACAGGAAATAATCGAGAGGTGTCAAATCACACGACCTTGGAGGCTAATTGGCATGTCGTCCATTTTTCGAAATCAACTTATCGCCAAATTTTCATTTCAATAAGTCAATGGTTGCAGTCGCCGTATGGCACGTAGCGTTGTCCTGTTGAAACCACATCCCGCCCAGATCAATGTCATCCATATTTTCAAACAAAAAAACATTGATCATGGTGCGGTAACGATCTCCATTGACGGTAACGCGAGCTCCGACTTTATGTTTGAAGAAATAAGGTCCAATGATGCCACCAGCGTGCAAACCACACCAAACGGTGCATTTTTCTCGATGTAATGGAGTCTGTAGGGTCTGTTGTGGATTGGTTTCACGGAATATGCGGCCCGTTAAGCCAAAAATGAGCCTCATCGCTGAACACAATTTTGCAATAAAACATGGGATCAGTTTCCAACTGCTCTAGAGTCCAATCGGCGAAAGAACGACGCATATGATGGTCTCGTGGTTTTAATTCCTGCACCAGCTGGATCTTAAACGGGTGTAGGCCAAGATCTTTGGGCAAAATTTTCCACGTAGTGGACGGAGAGAGCCCTAACTCCTGCGACCGACGACGAATCGATAAATGTAAATCTTCTTCCACATTTTCGTTTACAGCGGCGATATTCTCTTCAGCAAGCACAATTTTTCGACGTGTTGATGTTATTGCATCATTTAGAAAGTATGTGGTATGAAATCTATCCACAGTTCGACGAATGGCTTGCTCAGTTGATTATGTGCGCCATACAAATCACGAAGTCCTCTATAAGTTATGCGAATCGATGACTGATATTTAAAGTAAATCTGGATAATTTGGTAGCGTTGTTCAAGCGTCAATCTGTTCATGATGATTTGCCAGAGTATACTGATCATAAATATCAAAAAGTGAGTGCAGTATCGCAGTTAACCCTTTCGTAAGTTCTATCTGGCTTAAAAAAACATCCTCTATATCACTGCATAGAGCGGAAAATTTCCTATACATTCTATATGGTTTCGGTGTTTTGTCGGTATCATATAAGTAAGGCTGTTTTTACAAAAAGAAATGATTTTATAATCTCATTTCGTTTTTTGTTATACACCGATAGAAAGAGCAGAAAATTTCTTATGATTGATACTCCTTTAAGTTTTTGTTCCTTCCAAATGAAAGAGTTGTACTGAGAAAGGTCAATGCACCGATTCTATGTGTAGGGTTGTTTATTAGGGGTGTTTTTGGCCGATGCCGATAGATATTGATCGGACAGAACACGGTTTTAGATGAAAAAAAGATTAGGTTTTCTAGTGGTGTATTTAATATTGTACTATCTTTAAAGACAACGAATACATCGGCTTGTAAAGTAGGTGGAAAAACAAGGATAAGTTAGTTGCTGTCGTCGCATGAGTTTTTTTTAGACTCTTTTTCACAATTCTTTTTGTAGGTGTAATTCTTTTAACGGCTTTAGCAAACCGATTTCGTTTGCATCAATTAAATAAAGTCGAAAAGTTTGTGATGTCTTATGGTGGTCTTCGAGGAGCGGTTGCGTTCGCTTTAGTTCTTTTAATAAAACCAAATATAGTTAAACTCCAACCTATGTTCATGACCACAACGATAGCTGTGGTATATTTCACCGTTTTCTTTCAAGGAATTACGATAAAACCTTTGGTAAAATTACTAAATGTTAAAACCGCCGAAAAAAGAAAACCAACGATGAATGAAAGGATACACGAAAGGGTAATTAGTTTCGATTTTAAGGAATCATTTAATTTTAATGATTTTTAATAGTTAATGGATCATACAATGGCTGCGGTTGAGGATATCTTGGGGCAACATGGAAATTACCACGTGCGAGATCGGTGAGATTTAGAAAATAAATTAATACGAAATGATTTTAATTTTATTTTCGTTGCAGATTTAAAAGATTCGACAATAAATTTATACGGCCATACTTATTGAGGAATTACCAAGGTCACGAACCGAAAATTCTCGAGACTTATTCAAAATTAGCGATGAAAGATGCGATGGAATACATGCGAAGAAACGCTTCAACAATCGGAAATATTTCAGGAACTGAGAGTATGTCGGCGATCTTCAAAAACTACACTTCGGGTAACCTGAACGGCAGGTGCGCCCAAAAGATAATCACCTGGTAAAAAAAATAGGCACAGACTGCCGATTTCATTATATTATACCATTATTAGCACGCATGAAATCAGATTTAAAAAAAAGCACTTGTTTATGTTTATAAAAAAAATTAAATTTAAAAATAAATACGATAGATTGCACGCAATATTCTCATCCATTCTAGGTTTAGATCGTGTCACAATCTTGTTTATTTTTAATAATAATTAAGCGTTTATTATGTTTATTATATTTGCAGTACCAGTTTCAGCCAACTCGACTCGAGCACTTGGAACATCGACATGCAAGAATTGGAATATAATCCATCGAAAAAAGATCTTACAGATGCTAAAATACATCATTTATTAGCGGAGGAATTGTGTAAACCTTATAAAAGGGTAACTAAAAGGTTATTATCTTTCAAGTTTACTCTTAATCATTATTTTAACTTTAAGCATCGACGACTTAGTTATAGTAGACACGCTGTAAACGATAGAGATTTATCAACCCAAGTCAATTACAAGATGCACTTCAATACAAGAAGGATGGTTAATGATAAGAAACATCATCATAAAAGACATAGTAAAAAATTGCATAAGGTGAGATATTAATTGGGAGATAATTAAAAAAAAATTATTTTCATTTTTTCTTAAGGATGGGAAACAAAACCACGTTAGTTTTCCAGAGTTTCAACAAAACGGCTCGGCCAAACAATTTACGCATGGTAAACAATTTTTTTTTATAGCCACTTTATGATTCGTGCGTAATTGTATATTTATTGTATTTATCCCCGATGTTACTCGTTTATTTTTTTATTTCGTCCAAGTAGATTACATAAACGAAGTCTTGCACGAAGATGATACAGAGCCAAAATCGAGTAAAGAAGAATGGGATAGTCCCATTACGTTTACAGCAAAGTCTTCGCGTAAGTATTTTCTCATTCCTTTTAGTGGTAGGTATTGAATGATCAAAAAATGATATGGGGTGTTCCTAAATACTGAGTATAAATCTTCAAATACTATATTTCTATACCTAACAACTACAGTGTGTTAATTAATTATCGTACCCGACGTCATCATTGCAAGTATGCAACCAATATCACAGTATGCGTATTGCAATATGCGATTTACGATATTGGTTGCATACTCGCAATGATGACCTTTTTCATTTCTTCTCCATCTAGTTATTTTATTTCTATATTATTAAAACTTTTTATTTTAGAACTTTTGTATCACAGAGCTAAACTGTATTAAATGACAAACATTACATAAGAATTCAATCTAGTTATGTATTGAGAGTCATTTGAAAAACTTTATTTATTCACCATTTCTTTGAATGGTATTTAATCTTGTAGAGTTTGACTATCTTTTGACTATTCCTTTCAAAATACTCTCGAGTTGTCAAAAAAGTTTTAAATTTGCTGTACGTCAAACTAAAACATTCAAAAATTACATTAATACGAAAAACTCCCGCACTTTCAAGAAACCATCTAGCTAATATCATCATTAAATCTAGAAATTGGTCTTATTGGCAAATCCTGGTGTAAACGAGATTATTACTTGGAATGACGGAATTTCATTATACACATTATACACCATTTCGTTGCTGGAAATTGCTTTATTGTGCTCTAGAACTTTATCTCCAAATCTTGTGGCATTCAAAGATTAATTTTAATACAGTTCCATTTTTAGAATATCTTAAGCTTAACATTTATAAATTCTGCGTAAGATCGGTTCTTACATTTCGAGATTTATAGCTTCTTATTTGAACGAACACTTCTCGCTTTAAACAAGCTTCAATAGTAAAAGATTTAAACCTTATATTAATAACCCAACCCAAATTCATTTCAACACTACTCTGCGTTTTTGAATGCTATTTTCGCTTGGTAAATACTTCTGAAAAGATTTTCGATAAGAATAGTTGGATTCTACATAGGGATTGCAATCCCGGGATTTCAATCCCGAAAATCCTGGGATCCCGTACATATTTAAATCTCTAAAATTATCCCGGAAAATCGATTATGATTTCGGGATTTTCGAGATTATGTTTATGTTATTAATTTACTATTTTTTGAAGAATAAGACTCGATCTGTCGGTTGGCTTGATCTATTGATCTATCGGCTAGTTAACCAAGAATGCACTCTTCAATACATTGATTCAAGAAATTCCTGTATTCAATAATGGGGTTGCATGGGTAAAAATCTTCAATTCGCTTTTGAATGTTTGAAAACTATTCCACCAACAAGTGTGGAATCGGGAGGATGCTTCTCTTCAGCAGGTTTATTAAACACAAAATTTAGATATCGTTTAGGAGATAAAACAATAGATGAATTGTTTGTTCTGCGACATTTCTTTAAAAATAGCTCTATGGATGTTACATTTTTTTATAATTCATTGTATTATGGTTAGAATAAACTATAACGTTAGAAACACCTTGAACCTTGTAGCCCATAAAACCTGGGATTACCCGGGATAGAGAATTTTGATCCCGAAATCCCGGGATTATAAAAACCCCGTCTTGATTGCAATCCCTAATTCTTCAGCTTTGAATAGTAAATTTGAATGATACCTGCTTTTGATCTGTTAGGTGTTGATAAAAATCTTGGTCAAAATGGCAAAAGTCCAGCATTTCAATAGTACCACAGCTCAACACACCTTTTCTATTATGCTTACAGGTTATCACCGTATATTTTGATTTGTATCTATTAAAAAAAGACTTTTAATGGCTACCATACATAGAAAATCATGAAAAATCATGTCCACAAATCACATCGCTATTACATTCTGACATTCATCTTGACTGATTTTGATGTTGCAAACCCTAATCTTTTGCTAATACATGACATGATCTTATTTGGTTTTTGTGCATATAGTTTTTGGTCATCATTTTGAAACGAAATTTTTCAGCCTTTTATCATAAACAATTAACTGGAATAGCTACTAACTCACTTTATAGAACGAATATTTCTAATTCACTTACCAAGTAAATTTTCCCTTGTTCCAACACTTCACTTCACTTGGAATTCTGGGTTCTGCAGTTTTCTACTCTACTAGGTTGTAAACAATTTATGGTATCATATAGTATTTTTCTTATTATTACCAAAGCGTATACCAACTTATACACTCAAAGTTGAATTTTACAAATTAGTTCAATTGGTGAAATAAGTTGTAGAATAGTAGAATAGTTATGTTCTCTTGGGTACTCTGTTGAATGTCAGTTATTGTTTAATTATATCATAAAATGAGGATTTTAAATAATACCAATTTGACCGGATATCAAAGATTTAATTGCTCTCCTTGTGACACTACCGCAAAACAGAAGACTTAGATGGATTAAGTACAAGCTCATGGCGTTTTGCAACATCAGAAAAAATGCTACATCTGAGTTAAATTTTATGCAGGCATCATCCCAATTTTTTGGATATAGTAGAGGTAGCACTGCTACACGATACAAGAATGTGTCCTTATTGTTAAGCATTATTATGAAAATACTTATAGGTAATTGCTACGATTCACATTGTACGACCAATTTTCAGAGACTTTTTTTAATTTGATCATTAAGTTGTCAGTGGCAGTCTTTTGGAAAATATCATCCCAGCAACATCCATCTTTAGAAGTAAGGTAATGATAAAAGACCGGCAACTTGGAATCAATGATATTAGGAATGTTACGAGCTATGAAGTAGTTATGAATGCCGAGCTATTACTAGAAACACCAAGGTGTTGCTTGCTAAGTCATTAATTTTTCCATTCGTTACGTTCGAATCGGAAACGTAGAAATTAGAATAGAAGGACCGAATGAAGATCGAAAAAATGTTTCAATATTGAACAATAAAGATAAAAGACAAGTTGATCAAGCTGATTAATAGATCGTACTTTAACTACTTTGGATACCTGGCGAGGCAAACTGGATACTTAGGAAAATCTTGTTGTTGAGGGACAAAATGAAGGACAAACACGGGGAAGATCACCGATAAAATAGGCAAAGAGACTGAGGGGACACTCGATGCACCAGGTCATAGAGATGGCACACTTGAATTCTCTTTCAATTATCAAGTAACCTCCGTCAGCTTCCAAACCTAAACGTTTTGAAACTTATGGCTAATAAATGTTACCTGGGGTTCAATATTCAAAAGCAGGATGTCATCATTATATTACGGTTTTACGATCAAACCAGATGTAACATTAACCTCTGTGACATTTTGGTCTATAATCTTAACATTCTTATTCCTGATGACATTTGGTTATCTCTGCGAATCAAATTATGTTTCCTCCAAACTATGCAAATTATTATGCAAACCATTATGTTTCTAGTTGTATCACAAATAACCTGAATTACAATTAAGGTTCACAATTTGAGTATACACCAACGTTGGGAGTTTCGTCCATTTTTGCTACGCTCACCTTTATATTGCCCTTTGATAAAATAACTCTTAGAAGCCATCACGGACTTACTTGGCTTATTTCCTGTCGCTCTTGTTGGAGCATAGGCCAGCAGTAAAGGCTCTCTATCTAGTCCGGTTGGCAGCAAGGCTTCTTCCTCAATAGTTTTCTTCCACGTTTTTTTTTGGGTGCCCTCATCTCCTTGCTCCTTGGGGTTTCCAATCAAGCGCTGACATTTCAACTGCTCTATGAGGCTTGCTTAACGTATAGCCAATCCAACGCCATTTCCTCTCCTTGATTTGGTCACTAATCGGTAGCTGATTTGTTCTCTCCCACAAGTTTTCATTAGATATCACTTCATGTTTATAATGCGTCGCAGGTATTGATTAACCAACACTTGTAATTTGTTCGACATCACTTTTGCAACCTTCCATGTTTCACACCCATACAGGAGGACTGACTTTATTTTGCTGAAATGTTCTTATTTCGCCAAATAGGATCCAATTGCATGAAGGCACCAGCTACTCTTTATATTCGTTTCCTCACATTCTTCTCTACCCTTCCATCTTTCAACCCAACAATGCTACTAAGGTAAACGAATGCTTCAACTCGTTCCAAATCTCTTCTATTCACTACTATTGATGTTCATCTTCTTCGTTTTGTGAACATTGACTATTAGTCCTGGTATTTCTGATACGTTCAAAATATTATTGCTTACGTACAACGTTTTCTATCATTTTTGATTTCAGATTTTTGCATCTATTTATCATATTTCAGCTCAGTATCATTGTATGATGAATCAATTAAGTCTGTTTGAGATTCTGGCTTATTAGATCCATAGCAATGTGGCATCTTTCGAAAAGAATTATTTTAATAAAAATGACATAACTAAGTGTTAATAATAAATTGATTTTTATTAAATTGAAAAATTTAAATATTCAAATATAATAGTCGAATTATATCTCAAGGTCAAAAGCAGGTTCAAGCAACACTGTCCAGGGAAACTGAAACTTAAGATGAAATGTTGTCGACAAAATTAACAGAATTTACTGAACATAAGAAACAAATTCTCTAGATTAGTTAATACGAAGTAATATTTATCAACTCGGATATTGTTAGGGTTTTAAACTCGTGAAAAATTAAATTAATTAGGGAAATTGTAATCCTAACCTCAAAATTTTATAGTGAAGTTATCAAGAAACTTTTCATATTGAAGGTAAGAAGAGTTTTTTTAAAGTTTGAATCAACAAAACAATAAATTATCAAAAAAAATAACTTAACTTAGCCAGTTTGTTTTTATGAAAACTTTGGAGGTCAAACTCAGGATAATATTTTCTTCGTGACAGGAACTGTTGGATTCTTCGATAGGAACAGGATCGATTGTTTTCTTCAGTGGTTGGATAGGAACGGATGTTTTATTTTACACTCGTTAAACGTTGATTTAATTTATTTTTTTGGAGAGCAAAAAAAATGCGTGCGTCTCTTCAGACAACAGAACCACCATATTGTTGATAAATTCCGTTTTTCGAATGTTAAATTTTCCAATAACGTCTCCTGATTGGTTAAATTCATCGGCTTGAAATTTGTACTTTAGTTTTTTCAATGTGACCAACTTTGACATTTGAAATATCTCTAATTCAATTTGTCAAATTATTATTTAAAAATTTTAAAATTATTTATAATCATACATGATATTTCATAATTTTGATCCTCTTTTAAATCAATTTTCAAATATCTATTCATTTTCTTTTGATTTCAACGATAAATTTTCCAATATGTTCAAATTAATTTTGTAAGTTTTCACCCAAATTTTATTATTCCATACAAATATTGATTATTTTCTTTGTTAATTAAGTTAAGATTATCGTTTTCAACAGGTTTGAACCGGGTAGATAAAGATTTAAATAAATAATTTTGAAACATTTAAATTGAGGTTATCTGATATCGAAAATTTTTAAAATTACTTCGTATCGACTTTACAAGTGATATCTTAGGATTAGAACATTAAAGGACAATAAAATGTATCGAAATTCACTAGTGTATAGTATCTAACATTATTTTACAATTGTTCATAAACTTTTAATATTATTCATCTCCATCTAGTACAGTTTAGCTTTGAAGTACAAATATGCTTTAAACAATAAATAAGTTCTAAGAAAAAAAAAATATTTACAACTATCTGAAGATTTATATACTAGTATAAAACACCTCATATAATAATAAATCACTCGTTTCATTACTAAATCATTTCACGTATGATCACTAATAACTTCATTTAAAAAAAAGTTCTTACATTTAAAATTACGAATTTCTTCGTGATTTGAATATAAGATCAAAATCACCAAGAGGCTGGTCGTCATTTATGCTTCCGTAATCATAACAAAACTAACAGAATCAAAACCATGCATCAAAAATCTTGCATCGTCCACTAATTTTCTCTTATTGAGTGTCGCATGAGAGACTTTGTTTTTGATTATACTTGAATTGTGTGTGTGTGTGTCGTTTTTTTGGTTGTGGGTTTTTCGATTCTTATTCGCAAGGAATCATGGACACTAAGTAACTGAAACGGTCGCGTTTTGCGACGTTACCACGAATTTTTAGCCAGCGAAGAAGCACCCGCGAGCAGCGGCACCGAAGGTGGTGGTAGCATTTCGAGTCAACAGAATCCGTCCAACGAGGCAAAGAGGCCCCGAAGGCCTTTGCCATTTGATGGCTTCTTACCCTGGCGCAGGGAAAGAGGCGTTTTTGGTGCGCACTACGTTCTTAGTAACGGTACGCTATTTTAGCCAAAAAGAATTGATTACAAAAAAAAATTTTATTAAGCTTCGAAATGATTCGAACATGTGTCCCTCCCTTTCCAGATAGAATGGTTATATCACATAGAATTTTCTTTTTTTTTAGAAAAGCACCCTTTAGAGTTGATTCTAAAAGATTTACAATACACGAAAATTTTTTAATAAAGCGTTATTAACACAATTTAATTTATTTAATTGCTTGATTGCATGATTATCTGTATATTTTCGTAAGTCCTTAAATGTTTCTTGCTTGCTACATATTTTAACTTTAAAAACCTTTTCCTTTCGGAAACTGGCACTATCTATGTCGTATATATTCAGTTACAGATGACAGTCTTTTCTCAGACAGTGGTAGGCGACTGTCGAAAGCTTCAATCGATGGTACGTACACGAAATTTCAATTCGAAACTTTATTTATCTCTCACTACTAATCTACTTGTAATAGTTTTCCATGAGTTGTAGTTAGTTTTTGATTGTTGTCATGCGTTCGCAAACTTCTTGAACGTATACGAAGTAAACGACGATAATGGAACAAACTCTCGCTTTTCGGGTCTCGATCATTTTTCTAACGTTATTTGCGTGGGTGTTTCAGGCGTTGATTTGATGCGCGTCACAACGCCTACAGCCACTGAAAGCGTTTTACCATGGAAACGCGATGATGAAACTGAAAGCTCTGCACCTTTACAGCAATCGGAATTTCCCGCTTGGGCATCAAATAAGGAATATTTAGCTTATAACTCACCATCAGCAACTTTTCTAGGTAAATATAATTTTATCATTATTAATAAAATTGAAGTGACTACCAAATTTGGAAAAAATCATATCTCAAAACATAATTGAGATATCAAGATGATTTAAAAACAGCGTTGTAGCAAATTTAATTTAGTTTTAGTACCCAAAAAATATTTTTTTCATTCCTATAAATCCTGATGATATTACCATTAAATTTGATCCTATTGATATTGAGATTAACTTGACACAAATGCAACTTAATTCGTAATATCTCAAGAACGAATGGGGTCATACACACTTATTNACAAAAACCATTTTAAAGCAAATTTCATCAATATTTAATGTGCTGAAAGTCATTTCTTTATTCCTATAAATATTGACGTGGTGATTTTTTTAATTTATCTCTGTATATCCACTTATGACAGGTTAAGATTATAAATACCAATTTTAAAACAATCATATCTCAAAAAGTCATTAAGATATCAGGATGATTTAAAAACAGTTTTATAGCAAATTTAATGTAGTTTTAGAACCCAAAAAATATTTTTTTCATTGCTATAAATCCTGATGATATTACCATAAATTTGACCCTATTGATATTGAGATTAACTTGACAGAAATGCAATTTAATTCGTAGTATCTCAAAAACGAATTGTGATATCGTCATGAAACAAAAACTATTTTAAAGCAAATTTTATTCAGATTTAATGTATTGAAAATCATTTCTTTATTTCCATAAATTTTAACGTAGTGATTTTTTTAATTCGTCTCTGTATATCCACTTATGACAGGTTAAGATTATAAATACCAATTTTAAAACAATCATATCTCAAAAAGTAATTAAGATATCAAGATGATTTAAAACCCGTTTTATAGCAAATTTAATGTAGTTTTAGTACCCAAAAAATATTTTTTTGATTCCTATAAATCCTGATGATATCACCATAAATTTGACCCTATTGATGTTGAGGTTAAGTTGACACAAATGCAACTTAATTTGTAGTATCTCAAGAACGAATTGTGATATCCTCATGAAACCAAAACCGTTTTAAAGCAAATTTCATTAATATTTAATGTGGTGAAAATCATTTCTTTATTTCCATAAATTTTGACGTGATGATTTTTTTTAATTCATCTCTGTATATGCACTTATGACAGATTAAGATTATAAATACCAGTTTTAAAACAATCATATCTCAAAAAGTAATTAAGATATCAAGATGATTTAAAAACCGTTTTTTAGCAAATTTAATTTAGTTTTAGTACCCAAAAAATATTTTTTTCATTCCTATAAATCCTGATGATATCACCATTAAATATAACCCTATTGATATTGAGGTTAAGTAGACACAAATGCAGCTTAATTCGTAATATCTCAAAAACGAATTGTGATATCCTCATGAAACCAAAACCATCTTAAAGCAAATTTCATTAAGATTTAATGTGTAGAAAACCATTTCTTTGTTTCTATAAATTTTGACGTGGTGATTTTTTTAATTCATCTCTGTATATGCACTTATGACAGATTAAGATTATAAATACCAATTTTAAAACCATCATATCTCAAAAAGTAATTAAGATATCAAGATGATTTAAAAACCATTTTGTAGCAAATTTAATTTAGTTTTAGTACGCAAAAAATATTTTTTTGATTCCTATAAATCCTGATGATATCACCATTAAATTTAACCCTATTGATATTGAGGTTAAGTAGACACAAATGCAGCTTAATTCGTAATATCTCAAAAACGAATTGTGATATCCTCATGAAACAAAAACCATTTTAAAGCAAATTTTATTAAGATTTAATGCGTTGAAACTCATTTCTTTATTTCCATAAATTTTGACGTAGCGATTTTTTTAATTCGTCTCTGTATATCCACTTATGACAGATTAAGATTATAAATACCAATTTTGAAACAATCATATCTCAAAAAGTAATTAAGATATGAAGATGATTTAAAAACGGTTTTGTAGCAAATTTAATTTAGTTTTAGTACCCAAAACATATTTTTTTCATTCCTATAAATCCTGATGATATCAGCATTAAATTTAACCCTATTAATATCGAGGTTAACTTGACACACATGCAACTTAATTCGTAATATCGCAAGCACGAATTGTGATATGCTCATGAAACGAAAACCATTTTAAAGCAAATTTTATATAGTATACCTACCAACCATAAATACATTTGTATAACTTTTTAAGGTGGTTTGGATTACCCACGTTCTTCAGTAATCGGTCTCTTTAGAAGAGAAAGTACGGGTTCAGGTCAAATAAGCAGTGCAGAATCATCTCCTCAAAAAGAACGAAGAGGATCCGCAGGTCCAAACGCTATTCTACTAATTGAAGATGGTGTAACGGGCGATCCATTGGGAGTACTTCAAAAGACGTCAATGGGGCCAACCACTTTAGGGACGACACCTTTAGGGCCAACATCGATGGGAACGCCGACGTTGACGCAATTACCGGCGGCGCCTCAAACTCCCGGACAAAGAAGACAAGCCCGTAGAGGCTCCATGCTGGAGCTTAGCGGGTGTGTTGATGATGATGAATGCCCTGATCCTGCCATCAATGATGATGCCAGTAACACTAGTACACGATGATCAATCATTTGTGCTAATAATGTAAGAATATTTGCGCTGTTAGAGCGCAACTTTTCTAACCACTTCTTACTTACATTTTTTTTCTGCAATTAACGATATTAACTAAAAGAAAATATTTAAAAACTTTTCGTTAAACAAACAACTAACAACATTAATTCAAGCACCCAGTAATAAATAACTTTTTAAATGGTTGTTCGTAAGGAATAAAGCACATTAACGAGAATGATCACTAACTAGTTGTGTTAGCACTTCTTGTAAAACTACTGAAAAGACTGATTGTAGTTTATGTTGTCTATACACCGTGAGTAAAGTTAAATACTGGTCATCATTATTATGGACGCTGTAATCTTAGTAAATACTCATAGGTCACGCTTATAAAGCTGCTGGGGTTTTAGAGCTTAGAAATTTAGATGGGTTTAGATTAATAGAACGCATCAATCACTCAAGAGTTAACTAAAAAAGTAATGCATCAAATTTAACATCGAATAACTACTTAATAAAATTGGAAACAATATTTAATGCATTATTTTGAGTTAAAACTTTCCATAATTATCTACATTTCGATCAACACGCCATCTCATTTAAACGCATACCTATCTCCTCCTCACACTTCATGAGTCTTCAGATCAATTACACATGATACGATCCCCGAAGAGGGTGGCTCTTCAGCCAACAACAACAATCGGAGACCATCTTGGTTCTTATCGAGGGATTCGCCAAAAGTAATGGTAAGAAGACAACCGACTTTTGGGGAGACCCGTTTGGTTTCGTCATCAACATCTACCTCCGATTCTTCGTCAACGAGCGACGACGAAGAAATTGCCGCAGGGGAACGTTTAATGAAACCGGGCCTCTAAAAAGTACTACCCCTAAATTTAAGATAAACAAATAAAATAGGTTAAAATTTGATAATAACGATGTTGTAAGAAGGATAAAGAAATCAACAAGCAGTTTGAATTGGGAATTTGTGATGATTTTCTTGATAACTTTGGTATTATGTGATCATTCCTCGTAAAATAAGGAAGATTGTTGCAAATTTTTGATTGAAATGAGGGGATTCGAATTGCTTTATTTGATGGACGGTGAAACTGTGGCGTATTAAAATTGTTTAAGATACTTAAAAATGTTTACTAAAATAGTTTTTAAGGTTTTTTGGCATTTCGAATTCCTAAAAATCAAAGCCACCCTAATTCCTAGCCAGCAAAACTGCTTTGTCCATCACACACGCCCCAATTTTAATAACATCTCAATAGGTACTGTAATTACAACTACATTGTATTACAACTTTAGCGATTAAGTATTTATTATTATTACTCCATTTGGATTATGACTTAATTATCATCACTGATAACAGAATATATTTTCTTAATTTTTATATAGACGAAAAGAATTGTAAAACTTGTAGATCTAGTACTAATAGGGACTTGTATACCTAATAATTAAGGAAAAGCACTGTTTGTTTTTTTTTTTAATTTGATTTTTTCAATATCAAAATTAATTTTTAATAAGTTTTAATCCAGGAAATCTCTGTCATTGGAAATCGTACCGAATTATTCTTCTAATTTACATGAAATCTATCACAATTTTAATGCAATATTAACACAGAACTCGTTTTTTGAACAAATCTGTACATTACTTAGGCAATACTGTTTATTAAACAAGATCGTCCATAACTATTTAGTAAATTGTGACATCACGAGCTTTAGTATTTTAGTCCACAACGATTTCCTAGTAACAAAGAAAAGTAGATCTTATAAAACTGTTTTAGGTTAATACGTAGACTGTAGAAACTTATGTAGACTGAACAAGGACGCCAGAATGATCAAATGTATCAAATTAAATTAATTTGCGCCTATTTTAGTTTCATAGTTAATAGGGGCGCAATAAATTAATTTTCTCTTTTTAATTAAAATCTCCTTAAAAAAGTTTGATTGGAAACGAATTTATCAAAAAAAAAATGAAAATAGACAAGGGATCTGTGTACTTTGCCTTAAGGTATTGAATGAAAATCACCTAACTATTATAAAATTAATGGTGCCTCATATAAAAAAAATAAATTGATCTACTAAAGTAGTGTTCGCCTAACTTAAGCAATTAAGAAATTAAAAAAAAACAATTATAGTATAGGTAAAGGTAAATAATTCTAATAAAATATAAGTTTGTGTGCTCCGCTGCCTAAAAAACCATTCTTAAAGTTCTTAAAATAAGAAAAGATGCAAAAATATCGGAGTTTCGTGCATTTCACCCACATAACATTCATTAGGGAATTTATTGGTGTGTCGAAGATGCAGGCAGCTAAAAGGAAATTATTAAATGTAATTAAAGTGGAATCTTTTGTAAAGGAGCCTAACAAAAATGTTTAAAAGCAGGTACATTTGTAAGTCTTCACGTGTGTACATCGCGATTTGTGCGGTAGTTTTTGTAACAGTCTGACAATACGTATTATACACATTGAAATTTCATATACAAATCAAATTTTTCTTTTTCGTTTCATTTCTGTGATTGTAATGGCATTTCATCGGCAGATTTGCGAAACTTGTTGAAATAAAATATAATGAAAAATTACATAGTGTTTTTTTAATCATAATTGGTATATACTTGAAAAATATTTCAAAACAGATTTTACCATAGTTATATCTAAATTTGTTTGAAGTTGTAGAAAACTTTTAAATTTGCTGAATAGCTAAATAACTCAAATGGCGAGATTTATGTGGAATAATTTTTTGATGTAAGATTACTGTTAGTCACTATCAGCTTCTTTATTTGCCATAAAAACGGCATAATTTACGCAAATAGTTTTAAAAGGTATTTATTTCCTGCATGGGTGAGAACAAGAGAACCCACAATATCCAAAACCGTTTTTTTGATGTTCCAAGTTCCAACCTACCATTTGTGCAAAAGTTAGGTTTTGCTGTTTTTTCGTGATGCAATAGTGTGCATTCGTACAGATAACGGTATTATCATTAACTTGTTTTTGCCTAAACACTACAGCGTTAACTACAGGTTCTGCAAACCATCAAAATGGACGGTGTGCTTGCAACAGTTGTTACAACAAAGCAAACTATGTAGTAACAAGGTCATGTTGTAACAGGATAGTAGCACAATCTTGCTACAGACTCCAAGACAGATGACTTGATGTATCTAAAATAGTAATACAGTCATTAAGGTAAATGTTGTGATCTAGTTTAAATGTCATTGAAACTTACAGAATCAAAGGCTGCGCCACGAGGTGTTTCACAGGGGTTTGTTAAGCACGAAATGAGAAGGTTTATATTTTGGAGCAAAAATCGATATACAAAAAGGTACAACGGCTCCCCCCGAAAAGTATACATTCAATTCCAGCACCATAAATTACCTAGGATAATCCACTTTTAGTTCATATCAAAGGAATGATATAATTGTAAGAAGCGGCTCTTACATTAACGTGTGGGTGTGCAATGCGTATGCAACAAATTGAAATTTGTCATGCAACTTTTGACTTTGATCACAGAATAGAAGATTTTTTCGATCAATGATCTTCTTTCCCGTTTCTGGTCTCGATTCTTCTTATCCGAACCTTTCCACTGAACTCCATTTTATGAACTCAAATTCCAACTCATGAACGGCTCACTGTTTTTGTGGATCTGGAACTCGTTTTTGCTTTTTTCTATCATCAACTGGAACTCTGACTGCTTCCAACCTCTTCAAGTAACCTTCACTAACTGCCAAATGCAGGTGGTATAACCAAAGCACTTGGGCCCCAACGGTCCCTTTGTACAGAGTGTCCAAATTTCGATGGGTTTGCAAGGTATCTCAGTTATTGTGAAAGATAGAAAGTTGCGGCTTTCACGAAGCTGAGCTACATTTTTCTGAAACTTACAATGGCGCAACCGAAATTTTCATAGCCCTCTTCGTTTTTGATATACAGGGAGTGTTTGAAATTTACAATTTTCAGACACATCCTCTATCTCGGCTATCCGTAAACGTAAAAACGGATAGCTCAGGTTCGCGAAAGCCGCAACTTTCTATCTTTCATAATAATTGAGATACCCTGCAAACCCATCTAAATTTGGACACCCTGTACATTCTCACTGTTTACTTCGGCCATGTGTAAGTCTATTTGGAAGAGTGAAAGATGTTCGAAATGGCATCCGATTTTGACTCTAAATAACAGACTTATTTTTCTCTGCTCCTAAACTGACTGCTAAACTCTGTGTCGGACTCCAAGAAAAATTTTCTACATTGATGCATCTGGGAGCAAAAATATTACAGAGCATTGTGTTAAGGGTACAATTTGCTACAACTTTTGTTGTAAAAGTTTTTCTGTATCATGCCCCGTATACCGAGTTTCTTTAACACTTTACTAATTTACATATTTTTGAAAAATTCTCTACATTGATGCATCTGGGAGCAAAAATGTTAGAGGGCATTGTGTTAAGGGTACAATTTGCTACAACTTTTCTTGTAGAAGTTTTTCTGTATCATGCTTTGGATACCGATCTTTTTTAACACTCTTCTAATTTTCATATTTTTGGACTCTCCTTTTGCTCCAAAACTGACCGCTGAACTCAGTCTCGGGCTCCAAGACTGACTGACTCTCTCGTTGCTCCAAAACAGACTGCTGAACTCTGTCTCGGACTCCAAGACTGACTGTCTCTCTCTTTGTTCGAAAACTGACTACTGAATTCTGTCTCCAACTCCAAAACTGACTGCCAACGAACATTAATAGCTTGCACGGTGAAAAGTTATTCAGATTCTTTGGGGAGATAAACTGCGACCAAAAAATCGAGAATCTGATACAATTAACAGCAGGGCAATGGCATAAAACATGTTCAACCGTCCCCTCGTCCTCCACACATAGTCGGCTAGGCCCAACAAGTTGAAGTGTGTCTTTAATCGGCAGTGACCAGTAAAGACACCCATTAGAATTTTAATACTGCTACGAGCCAGTCCTAAAATATTCACGGGTTTGACAGTGTCGATGTTAATAAACAACATAGTAGGCGAAGTTTCTCTTCAGCTCACAGTCCAATCCATGTTTGGCCATCGCAAATGATATACCACCTGCAGACTCTGGCCTCACAAACGCTTTGGCACTGCCCCCTCATGCGAGCTTAGCTGCCACTTCATTGCCAACAACCCCAGAGTGACCTAAGACCCAAACAACTCAGTGTATTTAAAATTCTTTTACAGTCATTAACCAGAACCAACACCGTTTTCATGGCCTGCAGCACCTGGAGAGCGGCTTGAATGTCTGAGAAAAATTATACTGCCATATTCTTCACCCCTCTCTCAAGAAGGATTTTAGCACCCATGTCAATAATAAATAGTTTCGCCTAGACTGCAGTACAGCACATACCCAGGCTGAAAGCTTGCTTAATCCGAAGTGTCTCGCAGTATACTCCTGCCCTTACCCCTTCCGGCTTTTTTGATCCATCTGTGAACATGCAAATATCTGCCTGAACCACAGAATTTTCGTTTTCAATCCAAGACTACCGTTCAGGCAGTACAATCTGGTATCGAGCATTAATCACCGGTAGTGATCCCGTCAAATCTGACGGCATTGATAGCACAATATCGTCAATATCAGTGCTTTTAGTGTTCCGCAGCCCATTGGTAGGACAAGTCGGAGCAGTTTTGAGCATATTGCTTAAATTTCTAAATGGTAGTTCTAGCCACTTCTTTATATGCAAATTCAAAGCAGACAGGAAATAGGGCAAGCAGAACATCCATTGTTAGAGTTGGCTTATCGCGCCCAGCGATATTTATTTCAATGCAAAATCTAAATAAAATGTTTTAAGCAGCGGCCGAAAACGTTGTACTAACATTTCAGCAGTGATGGAACAACTCCAATTAAAGAAACTTCATTAATTGATTTTTGCAAATAAAGCAATTTATAAATATGACAATGGGGTCATATACACTTATTAAATTTAGAGAAAATTTTTATGTCAAACGATATATGCAAGTATATGCATGAACACAAAGTAAAAGAAATATTTTGATCAATTTTATATTTTGCGTAATTTGAAGTGAAAAATAGCAAATATTCAAACGAAATAATTTCGCGGCTTTTCTGTGACGTAGGAACCGCACTGCCTAAAACAAGTTAAATTGTCCGTTAGATAGCGCTTGCGGTGTGACAGTGTCAAAATAAAACCATGGATGTAATACAGTGTCTCTATTACATCCATGAACAAAACATAATAAACATAACCTACAAACACTCTATCTCTTTTCAATACAACCTAAATGACGTTCATCTCTTTCTCGCATTTGAGCGGGGAGCAGGGGACGCAAAAGTGAGAATCGTACGTCATCAACGCGGGAATTTTAAAAGCGCAAATGGGTATATAAATTTTCAATAATTTTTTTAACAATGACTTTGTTCGAAAATATTAAAAAAAAAAATAACGGTAACTATATTTTTATATAAACTTTCAGAAAATATAATAAAAAAAAAATCGTGTATGACCCCATTTGAAACAGAGAAATTCGAGCAATAATAAATTAATATTTAAATTATTTATTGTATATAGGAAAGTAAATTAAGTCAGTATGTACTGTATTGTACTGATAAGATATGGCGTTATTACCATACCTATTTAAGTAATTATTGGTAATGTGCGTTGCATAAATTAATTAATTTATAAATTTGACAATTTGAAAAACATAAATTAGAGCGCCATCTATGTTTGCAAAGTCAAAATAATACATAATAAATTAATATTTAAATTATTTATTGTATATAGGAAAGTAAATCAACTCGGTATGTATTATACTGTATTGATAAGACGGGCGTTTGAAAAAATGTGAGTTGTATAAATTAATTCATTTATAAATTTGACAATTTGAAAAGATAAATAAGAGCGCCATCTCTGTTTGCAAAGTAAAAGTAATACGTTCAAATTTAAATTATACATTAGAAAAATAATTAATAAAATAATAAGATAATAAATAATAAATGCAGCAATTATAATATAATATGGTAATAATAATGAAATCTTTACCTTCAAATTGCGTTCCAATCAAAAATCTTCAATAAATTCGTTGATTATTATTTCCAAATTAAATTTATTTATGATATAAAGGAGATAATTCCAGAGCTATTTCTGTACAGCAATTATTTTTCAACATTTCAAATTAATACAATTATACTTCATTTGTTAGAAATGGAGTTTCACCTTGAAAATAAATCGAATATCTCAGGCCGTTTTTTTTCTTGTTGGAGAACTGCGCAGAACAGCTGTTTAACATTAAAATAATTTAAAACTAGACCAACCATCCATTCCGTTTAAAATAATCTTAAATATAAATTTAAATCAGCAATCGTAAAGTGTATTGAAAATCGAGATCTTTCGAGATAACCTGATCGCCGAAACGAAACGTGAAAGTCTGGCGGATTCATATTCGTGTTTTGTCGCCCGAATTGGCAACATCGCTTCCAGGAAAAACAGCTGTGTTGTGTTATTGTGTATGTTTACATCGGTGGTAGCGGACAGGTTGGGTTGTGAATAGAGAAGAGCGAGATATGCCATTTATTTCGAAGGATTGGCGATCTCCAGGTGAAGCATGGGTGAAAACACAGGAAGGATGGGAAAAGAAAAAAGTCCTCGAAAAAATGATCAAGTAAGTATAATTTTTTTAGAATCGAGAAGGTGCAAATACTTGACGATCGATTCTCTCGACTCTTGGGTTTCTGCGACGAGACGTGTTCCTTTGTTTCACTTCTTTTTTAGGCTCACCTGATTTAATTAAAGTTTATTTTTTACTTTTCAATACAATACAAATTTTATGGTTTTTTTCTCGTTTTTTATTTTGCGTTATTAAAATGATAATAATAATAAAAATTTGTTTTATCACGCTTGAGTTGTTTTTAACGGTTTGTATTCTTTGTTACCACTTTTTTCACTGATTTTTAAAGGATTTAATCTACGTAGTATATAAATTTTTTTTATTGTTGTTTTAAAGGCAAAGAGAGGAAAGTTCCGAAACTGGAGAAGATTCAGATACAGAAAATACATCGCAACCACATTGTAGGATTACAATCAAATGTACTCGTGAGGTAACAATAATTTTGCGAATGACGCATTTTATTTTTCAAACACCAATTTTTACATTTCAAAAACATAAACATGATTCATTACTTTGATCAATTACAATCGATTACAGTTTTAATTAATTTTTATTTCAAGCGACAAATTAATTTTAACATTTAAAATGTCATTTTTAAAATAGGAAATGTCATTTTGACATTTCAAACTTTATTAGGCTTTTTAATATAATTAAAATGTCATATTAACAATTTCATTTTTAAAAATAATAACTTTTAAGTTTTAGTTTAACATTTAATATCTGACTTTTAACCTGAAATTATTCAAAATATCTAAATTGTCAATTAAAAACTTATCATTAAAATTTTCGATCAAAATGTCAAATTGACATTTTAAAAGGAAAACATATTTTGAAACTTTTTTTACCTCTTAATTAGTCCTCTTAACATTCAAATATATCAAAATTCGATGTATTGATACAAATGTTCAAAATATTGAGTGAGGCTAAGGTTTAAAAATGGCATGTCTCAATAATTTTTCTTGAAACTGTCATTCAAAACGTCAAATGTGACATTCAAATTGATTTTTTGAATTATTTTGGCGATATTAATGGTTCTTAATTCTTTAGTTTGAAGCTTCCTTCGAACAAAACGAAGTTCAATATACAAAAAATTAATAATAAATAAATAAGAATGATTTTGATGGATCTATACATTTTGGCCATTAAATTTATCATCATATCTGCAAATCCAAATTTTTTGCTTCTTTATTAACCTGTTTTTGATTGCTTTTAACCTTTTCTTACTCTCCATACATATTTGCACGAGATAAATGACAAAAACAGATATTTTTCTAACATTTTCTGCTATCGTCTTGGCTCATTTAAATATTTATGTAAGATTTTTATCTATATTTATCTTTGTCTTCTTTCAATTATATTTCTGATCGTATTTTGTGTTATGTGCAGTCTTGAAGTACTTACATTAGAAAGTAGATTGATGAATGTCAAAAAGCGTTCAGAAGCTAGAAAAAGGAGGCGAAACTGATAAACACCTTTATCAATTATGTTTTATCTTTCTTTTACCTTAACCCTTTCCTTCCCAAATTAATTCCACTACTGGAAGTCGAAATAGGAATTTAAATGTGGTAGCCATATGGCTTTGGTTAATCTTGACGTTTTTATGAGAATTTGAGGTCACAAATAAGCTATAAATAGCCAAATAGCTTAAAAATGAACAAAAAATCGTATGCTATCAGAAAATCCAATCAAACGTCTTTCTCGAAGTGACCAATTATTTGGCCAAAAAAGTGTAAAAGGAATTATCAAAGCGAAATTGGTTATTTCAAAATTATACTTTCATCTAATAAAAAAGCAGTACCTGTGGGACAATTTAAAAAGAGAGTAAAACCAATTTGCGTTACAACGTGACTTGACTTTTTATTTTATAATAATAATAAACAACACTTTTTGTATCTCCATGGATTTACAATTTTTGTTAAAAAAGAACTTATTACTATGATTTATATTTTGATGAATTCATTTATGATTTAATTTATAATTGTGGTGGTTGCCACAGTACCATATAACATCAAGAAGCTATATTTACAATTTTAATCCAAATTGAAAGCTTTAGAAAAATTAATTTAGTATCACAAGTCAAGGAAATCTGTGAAAATGCAGATTAAGATATCGGTGAAGACATCCATCGTCAAAACGATGTGGTGGCCGCATCTCACATTGCCCGTTTCATATATTCCATAGTTTTGTAACGTTTCGGAAGATTTTTATATTCAACAAAATCGTCCAAATTTAATTATGACCTTCTATAATCCAAAGAAAATTCTTCACGTTATGCCTAATTCTATCCAACATAAAATATAAACGTCCCTGCTACACCACAGATAAAGATAGTGTTAGCATTTCTTCCGTATACGTTGCAAACTCATTAAAAAGTCGAACATATTAAACTCTTCGGTGACATCCCATCTATAATCAGTATAATTGAGTGGAAGAGATTAATATCTGTTCCTGTTATGGATAAGAACAACTCATTGGTCTATACGGCGTATTGACAACCACTTCTATTCTGGATGATAGTTGTCATTGAATTTAGCATAGAGATCAGCAAAGAGAAAATTGCAGGAAAGTTGTTCTGTAATAAGGGCCAATCAGAGCTCTTTACGTGTTGTTGCGGTAAGTATGCAACGTCTTAGACGCCTTTTTCGCTGGTCAGAAATAAGCTCAATAGGATTAAGATCCGGGCTTTCAGCAGGACAGTCCATTTTTGGAATACAAAGTTTTTCAATGCACTGTGTTACGATCCTTGCGTGTGTGGTCGTGAATTATTCTGCATTAATAGAAAATCATTACCGACAAATCCAAGAAAAATGACTATATGCTCTGCTAGGATCTCCTGATGTTAATGCGCTTCTGTCAACCGATTTCTAAACAAAGGAGTAGTACAACACCCTTGGCAAATTATTTTAAAAGATGGCCTGTTTAGTCAAGATTCCAAAATGGTATAACGCTTGCCATTTTTCTTTTCCTAAAAAATATTATTGCTTGTTTTTCTGCAAAAAACGCGTTATTTAAAAAATTTATAATTTGAAGTACCTAAAGATATGATGTACGGGAACGATTTTTAACATTTTCAAAAATATGTCTATTACCACTTAACTAAGAGACATGGAATTTTTTTCTTATATTTACCAGAACAGGTATGGGTTGGCCTCTCACCCGGTGCCCGCTTAACGTTGCGTTTCGGGACACTCTGTATACGCATTCTGCACTCATTCGTAAACAATACGATTTTCCAGCCACACATGCATTATTCTGCATTAACAGAAAATCACCAACAAATCCAGCAAAAATCACCATATGCTCTTCTATTATCTCTGCTATGTATTCTCGTGCTGTTAATGCGTTTCTGTCAACCGGATCTAGATTTGTTAGTGTCTCAAAAGTAATTTCTGTTCAAAACATGACTGAGTCATTCCCAAAAGTAACTCAAGGTGACCGTGTACAAGTAGCATAACGTTCGCCAACTCTTCTGTATGCATTATTTCTATTCTTTTTGGCATATAGGTAGATTCTACACTCATCCGTAAATATATATCTTTTTTCCTGTCGTATTTTGTCCAATTAAGGTGTTCTTGGGCTAAAACAGGCCTTGTAGCTGGAATGTAAGCTGTTAAAGCACTTTTCCTTAATCTTTGTGAAACTGTTGTTCCTTAAGCTTGCCGAAAGCTGCTTTAAAGCATTGTACCGGTTTGATCTCTTAATGCAGAAATCATGATAAAGCGAACTGCTCTGGTTGTTGTTGTTTTTTCGGGTGGCCCATTTTCTTTGACAAATATAAGAAAAAGCTACATGTCCCTGGGCTTGCTACTGTTATAGACGTATCCGGAAAATTCCATTTCTTTAATCTCGGTATCAAAATAGCAAAAATGATTTCTTGAATAACAAGATTACTAAGAATTCAAGGTTATGTGGTGTTAGCGTTATTTTGACTTTGAGTAGAATAGAACTGAAGGTTAACTTGTATGCATTGATCCTGACGTGACCTTGACATCTCTCTGAGGACGAAGAGCCGATGTCCATGATCTTAAGATCGTTTATGACCAAGATCTTATTGCGTTAAGATATCGCTAAAAATTTCACTCGTTCTGTATATCTTTACATCAAAAGAGATTTTGGACAATCACTTTAATTGGTCTCGAAATGTGATATGTAAAGGTATAGTTTTTCAAAATTGGTGGTATGGCTAGGATGTGTTTTGCGTATTAGTTACATCGTGACCATATACCGTTTTGTGTTTCTACAAGTATCCTCTAACGGCATGGATCACTCCCACGAAATTTACACATCGCATACGACACAGATATTCCTCAGCATATGGATTGATCTGGATTGAATGGTAGACCTGCGTTTCTTTGGAGTGTACTCACAGATTTCACGCATGATTTCGTTATACCTTTGAATGCGGGCGTCTTATACCACGAGACATGTTTGAACGATGTGGTGCATTTTGCCTTTTTGTGGTTACAACTGCTTCTATATTTTCTTAGCTCAGAGCTATTAAATCAAGGTTTAGATCATATCTATGTTGAAGAAAATTAAGTCACGAACATATCATAGCCTCTCAGAGAAGTTAGCCAGTTGTTTAGAGAGTTTGTGAACCATGAGGAAATTTGCGCAGCAGATAATGTCACAAAAGGTTAATTTAAAGACCAAGGTAACAAGATCGGGCCTTACAAAACTACTTTAGAAAAGATGTTAAATTATACCGGTGGACAAAGATTAAGCCGTCAGTATTTCCCTGAAATAAATTGTTATCTTCTTTCCTTAACAACGTCTTGCATGCAGTCTTACCATAATAAGTTATAAAATAAAGTTACTAGTTTCGGCTAAGAGCCATCTTCAAAGACCTACAAGATCAATTATTAAATAATGTTTAAGAAGAGATACGTTATCAGTGATATGTCTTAAATAAGAAGCTACATTGTCGAATTTAACTTTGTTCGTAGAAGCATTCCTGACACGTTGAGAACTCAGATTAAAGTCCTTCATGTCAAGATGTTTATTTATATGTATTATTTAGCATGTGTTGATGATATCTATAGAATATCTTGAAAAATTGACTATGAATGTCGCTCTAAATAAACATTTTGTATAATATTTATTGTATAGATATTTAACAATATAAATAAGAAAACTGACTCACATAGGTATGATTCAGATCAAATTATTTTGAGTCAAGTATTTATTTACATAATTGAGTTTGTGTATTGTTTGATAAGAGAAGTGTTATAAAAATATAGATAAAATAATCGATTTGTATTAAATGTAACATAAATGAATCAAAATAAATTTACACACAATACAAAAAAATAACAAAAATTTTTTGCTTACTTCCTCTTTTAAGTAGATAGCCGGTTTCAATGGTCTCGACGAGGCGGTAAAAAAGCTCGATTTTCGAAGTGCCGTAAAAGACGTTCGAAGATTCAATTATATTTGCGCCCTCCTTGACCTTTTGGTAGGTCAACAAATGACCGCTTTATCGGGTTGCGCCCAAAAGGTCTTACTTGCCATGCTTGAAGAAGTAGCGAATTACGCAACCGCGAACCAACATAACCCCAGAGGCTTACGAAGACTCATCGCCAAATTAAGAGCTTTAAGCGCTGCCGAAAGAAATGCTTGTTGGGGGGGACCTTTGGGTTCTCAATTGTTGTGGCATCAACACGCTATTAAAATCGATAAGATTTTATCTTTAGCTGGAGGAATGCAAATTTGTGAACCTAATCCGGAAATGAAACCGCAATTTTTACAATTACCGGAAGAATGTATAAGGGAGGTTATTTTGAGATTATCTGATCATAGAGATTTAACTGCCAGCGCTCAGGCGTGCGAAGAAATTGCCGTTGTTGTTAATGAACAAAGAGTTTGGAGAGAATTGACTAATTATCACTTTACTCAACAACAAATTGAAACTATGAAATTGAAGAAAGATACTAATGATTGGAAGGAGTTATTTCATAATTTAAAAAAGTATTTTTTTTGTACTTGATTTGATTTAAATTTAATTTTATTTTGTTACTTAGAAATTATGGGATTTCTGAAGATCGACAATACGCGGAAATGTTATCTTTATGTCGTTATTGTTGCTGTTTGTTCTGGCGAAGTTTGGGACATCCTTGTATAGCCGATCAATGTCCGGAATTTCGGGCACGAATCCAAGAAGCTGGAGGTTTAGTTCCTCCAAGTCCGATTCCTCCTTCAGCATTTCTAAAATTTTTCTCCCTGTAGATTCGTTCGGACCGTAGTCCGTCGTTTTCGCTGTGCGTACTTTTTAAATTATTATTTGTTTTTTCTGCATTGTGATAAAGAATTTTCGTGTATCTCCAAAAAAAATATAAAAACTAGGCTGCTATTTATGATATTTACTAATCTAATTGATTATTAACACGATGGATATTTTACTAAACTTAAATTATATATATTATATATATTTAAATAAATATATTATTTATGCTATCATTCTTTTATTGCGTTTTATTTTTAACAATAAAACCCTTCAAAATTTAAATTTGAATAGCGCCATCTATTTGTCAAATTAATTAGGTACTCAAAATAAAAAAAATAATTTTGAATTTGATTTAATAATTGAAATTTAGTACTATATATTAATTAATGTTGAAGTAATTAATCAATTTATAATTAATTTGCGTATAATTACATTGTGTTAAAATTAATTTTAATATTTTACATAAATTATTATCGATTGGTAACAGCGTTGCCACGGCAACCAATTTTATATACAAAACTACTGTCAATATAAAAGTTACAAGTGTCAAGTATTGTTGTGTGAATAAAAATGCAGTTTAAATACGTTAAAAATATTCTAGAGTCTTATGTAATACAAATTATTTTATTTTTTAGCGTAGATTATTTAATTATCTTTTTTAGGATGTACCACAACAAATAATTTGTGTAGCGTGGTCCCCAAATTCGGCAAAATTAGCGGCTGCTACTTCAGAGAGACAAATTTTATTATTCGATGAAAATGGTGAGAAGAAAGATCACTTTTCAACGAAACCATCAAATTCGGAAGCGGGGAAAAAATCTTATATCATTAAAAGTGTCGCTTTTAACTCTGATTCCACAAAATTGGCTGTTGCTCAAACTGATTGTATAGTTTTTGTGTATAGATTAGGTGAAAAATGGGGTGAAAAGAAAGTAAGTTAATATTTGTTTTTAATAATTATTAATTTAATCGATTTTTTTAAGGCTATTTGTAATAAATTCATGCAATCATCATCAGTGACTTCAATGATTTGGTTATTATCAGGTCCAATAATAGCCGGTCTTGTGGACGGTCGAGTTCGCGCCCTCCAAATAAAATCCAATAAATCTCAAAGTTTATATTCAGCAGACAGTATGGTGGTGTCTTTATGTTCGAACATGAGGGGAACAGGTTTTCTTTCTGGACACGTCGACGGAAATGTAATAAGATTTTACGTAAACGACGATGACAAATCTCAGGAGAGTCAAGGAAGGGTTTTCGTACATCCCGTACCACCTTGCGCATTGTCTTGGTTACAAAATCAAATTTTTGTGGGGGGGTGTGATAAAAGAGCGATTTTTTATAATAATCAAGGGAAAGTTATGAGACAATTTGATTATAGTAGGGATAATAATGAAAAGGAGTTTACTGTTGCTTGTTCTAGTCCAAGTGGACAGGTAAAATTAATATTATTCTAACATAGAATAATAACAAAGATATATTTTTTTAAATTAGGCTGTTATGGTTGGAAGTTTTGATAGATTAAGAGTTTATACATGGAATCCTAGAAATAGTTTATGGGAAGAATCAACGCAAAAAGAAATCAAACATTTTTACACTGTTAGTTCAATATCTTGGAATATGGACGGATTTAAAGTTGTTGTTGCTAATAATGCCGGATCTTTACTTTTATTTGAAACAGGTAAAAAAGCCACAAATTGATCTCAAGTTTACGTTAATTTTGGTACTTTAAGTACTATGACCCCTAAACTTATGTTTAAACTAAGTCACATCTTTGAGTTTGCCTTACATTAATTCTGGTAGTAGAACAAACAGTGAGGGAGAAAGTGTAGTAAGAATATAAAATGAAACACCATTTAGATTCAGAATAAATAAAAGGTTACGCGAGGATGATACTATTATAAATGCATATTCTTCAACATGGTACTCAAGAAGGTCATACAGAACGTGGGCACCAACACCAGCCGCACAATTATCAACAAAAGCGTACAAATCTGGATTTTGCTGATGATGTTGATATCATTGCTAGCGACATTTGAAGAAAGATCCTGCAACACATATTTGGAGGCAGAATGGAACATGGGTAATGACGAAGTCGCTATAACTCTGCATTATATGGGGATCTAGACCCCAATTTCATAAAAGTGTGCCACTTGTGTAGGGTCTTGCGGAGAAAATGAGGGACAAAGCAATTCCCAAGAGAATTTCTAAACAAGCCATATATGGAAAAAGGCTTAGAGGACGATTCAAGTCCAGAGAAATATAGACCAGGTGCAAGAAGACATCAAATCTCTCCATATCATTCACTATACAAGCAAGATGCGGAACAGACCAGAATGGCAGAGGCTCTTAGAAAATTTTTATATTAAATGTGTAAAGAATATGAGGAGAGAGAAGGTTTCATCTGGGTTCGAACAGAGCAGATTACATTTATTAGTTACTATCTAACGGAAATTGAAGAACTTGAAAGTTTTTATCTGAAAAATTACCTGAATAATTGCTGGTGGGTGATCTAAATGCAAATGTCACCGAGTGAGGAATGCAGAGAACTAAACCCAGAGTGATCCTGGATTAAATATCAACAATTTTTATTATATCGTTTCGTAAACTAAAATACAAAAAACACTTTCCCGATGACATAATTGCATCCAATTGTAATGTCTCTTCTTAACGAAGCTGGGAAGTTCCTGAACAATACACAGGAAGAGATCGCCATTAGAAAAGCTACAAATTCGCAGAGAACTAAGCTTTGTTAATTTCACGTGTGAAAACTCAGATTCGTTTCATTGTCAACTAACTGAATAAGGAAGTTTTATTATTAAATTAGGAACTGTATGTGTGAATTTCTGGCCAATTAAAATGACGCAATATTTGCGGTATGGATCTCGATGGAGCATTTAGAAACAAAAGGCTACAAACCAAAAATAGTAGAGCTCTGAAAAAGTGTAATTTGAAAAAATATTGAGAAAACGTGGTTCTGGGAATGCCTAACTAACTGATGAGGTCAAAAATGCAAAAGAACTGAAAAATTTTACTCATGGGGCTTTGATTAAAAAAGCGTATCAAGCATCATTACTGGAGCAAAGCTAGAGCCTGAATGATGACCATTGTCAACGCTTTATTAACTACGTCTCCAGTAAGGATAAATAATTAGAGAAAAACATTTCTGTCTTTAATGATGAAGACCTTCTCTTTTCTGCAAAAAAAAAACTGGAATGTTCTTAATCCTGACGACGCTTTTAAATGCATGGCTAACATTTTCTCTGATGTCCTTCTACGTTACGACTGTACATAACTACATTTCCATAAAGGAAAGAGTTTTTTACCAAGCTGTAAAAGTCATAGACTTGCCCACCTACGCTATGGATCTTTGATAAAACCGGCAATCTTTTTCAAAAACTTCTTAAAACACTATTTTTGCGTTAGGTAAATTAACCGTCGTAAGTCTGTCATATTTCACACTACAGATCCGTGCTTACTCTTGTTGATGCATTGTGATGCTTGACATCAGTAACACCTTCTTCACATCATTTAAGCAAGGATACATCTTAATATGGTACATACTTCCTAATATGTTCTCTTATCTTTTTTGCGTTCACATCTTTGTTTAGCGTCTTTGAGAAGATCATTAGCTTTGCCTTCGAATATTGAAATTGATTTATAAGTTTCTGCAAGTCGCTCATAATCTTGGCAAGCAATATCATTCTTACTTGACTTAAGTTTATAACTCCCACATGAAACTGCTTATACACACTACACACGTATCTTGTTGCTTCAATTGTAAAAGTAATATTAAAACAAATAATTTTGAATCTTTACCCTTTCCTATCATCAGAATTTTCTGGCTTATATCAGGTTTTTACGTTTCTATTTTCACAATTTCTGCCTTAGTTAGTTTTCGACTAATTGTAAGATGCGCTTTGATATCAATTGGTGGTCGTCTATTTGAATCATTAATATCATAACTTTATTACTTTTATTATAAAGCTTTAAAATCACTAGACTTGAATAAAAATGCAAATATCAACTCGCCATTGAATGATGCTCTCCACTTCATCGTTATGCTTGGTGCGAACAGACTACACATATTCCTGATTTACATTCGTCCGTTCAGCCAAATTGAAGAGTCAATATTTAACATGGTCTCTCTGTTTAATAACTGCTTAATAATCAGAGACTTTAACCCTAGTCCAACTAAGAAAAGACACATCAATCAATTCCTGTTTTTGTCAAATTTTGTACAAATCAAGACACCTCCAACGTACGTTATGGAGAACAATCCGAACTCCACTCCAGACCTGCTTTTCTACACAAGATATTTGAGACATCTAATCATCCTAGTTGAGGTTGTTGCTGACCTGTCATCAACACAACATCAAAGTTATCTAAACCTGCTCCAACTATAACTAAAAATTACAAACTTTGCAACATGGAGAGAGTCAACTCAGCAATGAAAGACTTCATAAGAGCAGATCCTGTAATTACACCGGAGGTGATATCAAAGTTTAATAAAAAACTTAAGAAATCGGTAGACGAAGTGAGCCCATCTAGAATTTGTAAATATTAGACATTTCCGTTACCACCATTCATCATCCGCCTAATCAAAGATAAGAGACGGCTGTACCGAGACTTTAGAGCATGCGAGATTCCTGAACTGAAAAAAAAGTTTAACAAGCTCAACAAAAACTAGCACAGCAATATAGAACGATGGAAGCTTGCGACAAAATCAATTTATGTAAGAGGAAAAATTATTGGCAGGAAGTTCGTAAACTGTCTAAATACCAAAAGTTTTCTGAAACAAAAGAGTTCACTGATCCCACTGATGGAATTGCACATTCGAACCCTGAAGAGATTGTTAACATCCATGCTGAGGAACAATAGCACAATAGACTTGATACCAGTTGCTTTTATAAATCCCTCTGAAACACCTGAGGATGCTATTATGTTGGAGGACGAGTATTTCAGTTTTCAGGCCAAGGAAAGAACACGGCTCCTGGTTATGATAACGTCTCGAGAAAGGTGTTGAGAAGCTTGGACCTTGATATTCACTCCTACATCAGGGAAATAATTAACTTCTGCCTCATGACTCAACATTTTCCACAAGACTGGAGGACCTCTATCATAATCTGCGTCCCCAAGAAGTATTCCTCACTTTCCGACCCAGCAAACTACCGCCCCATCTCACTGCTGCCAGTGATAGAAAAGCTTTTCGAGACACATCTCAAGAACAAGCTCCTGGCTGTCGTCTCAAAGACCATCGGCTGTGCTTCTGGAAGTCCGAAAGGCTTTCGACTCAGTCTGGCACAAAGGCCTACTATTCAAACTGGATAAGTTAAATGTTCCATATTACCTCCTAAACTTGATAAGGCAATTCCTTTTAGATCGCTCTTGTTTTGTGAAGCTGAAAAACCATCACTCATCTCCCATCTCTCCTTCTCTATACAACATCTTCTGCCACGATATTTACGACAACAATGCAGACGCCTTTGATATGAATAAATATACTCTACTCTACGCCGATTGCTCCGAAATCTGCCGAATCGGCCCATCGGTCCGAAAGCTACAGCTGATTATCAATGAAACAGAGAGCTGGTACCGAAAATGGCACATTCAAATCAACTCCTCAAAATCGCTATTCTTCATCCCTTTCCTTCCAGCCCACGCCCCTTCTCCTACAATCACAGTTCAATTCCCTTTTCTGTCTTACCAACCTGTAAATACCTAGGCATAACACTCTCGACAGAACCCTAAAATTCCCTGCCCACGCTATCAAAGTGAAGATGAAAGTGAAAACTCGCGCCAAGCACTTCATATCCCTGTCATCCAAAGGTCGCGGAATTTCCACAAAATGTGCCTCGCACATGTACAAATCCATATGCAGACCAATTATAGAATATGGATCTATACTTCTAAACGACGCGCTTAGAACATCAGCACATCATTTAGAAGTCGCAGAAAGATCGCCATTGAGATCTATAACACGAATAAGGAATCCCAAAAATCCTCTTTTCAACCCTAGCAATGATCTCCTTTATAACCTCACTAATATCCCTCCCATTAACTTCCGTATACAATCTTTATCTCATAAAACTACCCTAAATTTCCCTACCAATCTTCTCCACCATCTTATCCCTAGAGTAAACCACCCATCTGACCGCCCACCATTTCTTCAAAAACTGTTGATGAACAGGAAAGGCTGAAGCTGCCGCTAACTAGAACTTGTATGGGCAGAAAGACTCCGGTCGATAGCCCTATTTTTCTTTTTTTTTTTTAATTTATTTGTATTTTTTGCATCCAAAAATAAAATTTGTTTCCTCTCTTTCACTACACTTGTTACGAACATCTTACTTAAATCAAAATGGACATTTCATAAATAACTATAAATATAAAATAAGATAAATTCAAATATGTTATAATATATTTATTATATATTTTTTGTTTTAGTTTTAAGACGAACCTTTTGGAAAGATAAATACGAAATAACATTCGTTGGTCCAAGTCAAATTTTAATAAAACCATTAATCGACGGTGATTACCCAAACGTAGTAATTAATTCATATTATGGCAAAGAAATTGATGATATTAAAATAATGGGGAAAGATAATTACGCGGTAGCTAGAACATCAGAAACACTTATTGTTGGTGATTTACGCAACAACTTAGTAAGCGAAGTTTTATGGACGAACACGGGAAGACATGAAAAATTTTATTTCGACAATCAAAACATTTGTTTGGCGTTTAACGCCGGCGAATTATCCTTAATTGAATACGGAATAAACGAAGTTTTGTATTCAGTAAGAACTGAATTTGCAAATCCGCATTTGTTAAGTGTGCGTTTAAACGAGCGTAATTCGAGCGTTGATAATAAAAAGCTTGCTTATTTACTTGATTTGAAAACGGTTTGCGTTTTGGATTTAATAACCGGGGTGACTATTGCTCAGATTAATCATGAATCAAAAATTGATTGGCTTGAATTAAACGAAACCGGAAATCGATTGTTGTTTCGAGATGTTAAACAAAGATTAATTTTAATTGAGGTACTATCAAGTGATAAGAAATGTATATTTAGCGGGGTTTCTTTCGTACAATGGGTTGAAGCGAGCGATGTAGCCGTAGCTCAATCCGGAAATACTTTAGCAGTTTGGTATAATATCGATTTACCGGAAAATCCTACGATTCTTCAAGTTAAAGGTGACGTGGTTGATGTAATCCGAGACAATGGGCGCACTCAAGTAATTACAATTGAGGGGAGTAACACAATAAAATTTGATTTAGATGAAGGATTAGTTGAGTTTGGAACTGCTGTAAATGATAATGATTATGGGAGAGCGGTTCTTTTTTTGGAAAAAATGGGAAATGGATCAGAAGCTGATGCAATGTGGCATAACTTAGTTAATATCGGATTAAAAAATCAAGATTTATTTTTAGCTAAACGGGCTTATGCGGGTTTAGGAAACATTTCCAAAGTATTCTTTTTGGATGAAACCGAAAAACTTTTGTTGGAGGAGTCCGAAGAGAATCAAAACAGCCCGGGGAGATCACCCGAAGTTTGGGCTAAATTAGCGGTGTTAAACGGAAATTTAGATACAGCCGAAAATATTTATTTAGAACAAATGGATTTAGATGGCGCTTTAAATATGTACAAAAAATTACATAAATGGGATTCCGTTATTCGATTAGCCACGAAAAGTGGTTACAATAAATTAACAGATTTAAAAGAAGAACACGTTAAGTTACTTTTAAACGGTGGGCAATACGAAAAAGTCGGCCAAATCATGGAGGATGAAGGAAATTACGAACAAGCAATGTCGATGTATGTCAAATCAAACCGATTAGTTAGAGCGTCTAATTTATTATTGAAACAAAATGAGTTAATTTCCGATCATAGTTTAGTAGCGGTCGTTTTAAAAAAATTATTAAAGCACGAATTATTTGAATCCGCAGCTGAAATTTACAAAAAACTCGATAAAACCGAGTTAGCTTTAGAATGTTATAGAAAAGGAAAAGTTTGGAATAAAGCCGTTGAATTAGCCCGAATAATCAATCCAGATCAAGTGGTTGATTTAGAAGAAGAATGGGGCGACTATTTAGTTGAAAATAAACAAATGGATGCCGCAATAAGTCATTACATCGAAGCCGGGCGAACCATGAAAGCTTTAGATTCCGCAATTACCGCTAGACAATGGAAAAAAGCTGTTCATATCATCCAAGTTATCGACGATATTGATTCAGTTAAAGAATATTACAAAACATTAGGGCAACATTACGCCTCAATAAAAGAATATAACATAGCGGAAAAGATGTTTATAAAAGCCGAAATGTACAAAGAAGCCGTTTCTATGTATAACGAAGCGGGCCAATGGGATAAAGCTCACTCAATAGCCTCCGCTTATTTAGACCCAGCCGACGTTATAAGCATGTATATCAAACAAGCTGAAGAACTAGAACAACAAGGAAAATATAGAGAAGCCGAGAAATTATACGTCTCCGTTGACGAAGCCGATTTAGCGATTGCAATGTATAAAAAAGCTGAGCAATACGATAACATGATTCGATTAGTCGAAAAGTATCATCCCGATTTACTCCCAACAACTCACATGCATCTAGCGCAACAAATGGAAACGCAAGGAAAATATAGAGCTGCCGAAGCACATTTTCTCGCCGTCGGCGAATGGAAATCAGCTATGAATATGTATCGATCACTAGGATCTTGGGAAGAATCGTATCGAGTAGCTAAAGAAAACGGCGGGGCTCCCGCAGCAAATCAAGTCGCTTTTCTTTGGTCACGAAGTCTACCGATAGATTCGGCAATAAAACTTTTAAACAAATACGGAATACTAGAAGCCTGTATTGATTACGCGTGCGAAACGTATCAATACGACTTTGCGTTCCAATTGTGTAAAAATTTACCATCAAAAGTTAGTGAGGTTCATTATAAATACGCAATGGCTTTGGAAGATGATGGGAAATTTTCTGAAGCCGAAAGCGAATTTATCGCAGCCGGAAAACCGAAAGAAGCCATTTTTATGTATACGCACTGTCAAAATTGGATTCACGCCTTAAGAGTGGCCGAAACTTATGACCCTTCCGCTGTTTCCGATGTTTTACAAGCCCAAGCACTTCATTGTTTCTCAGATGGAAATTACACTGATTTTGAATCGTTGTTATTAAGAGCTCAAATGCCTGAAATTATTGTTCAAAAATATAAATCTTCAGGTAAATAATTTTAAATTTAAAATAAATTTAATTAAAATTTGTTTTTTGATTTAGAAATGTGGATTGAAGCTTTAAGAGTTTGCCGTGATTATCTCCCAGCTCATTTACCGTCGCTTCAAGCTGAATATAGCTCTTCAAATCATGGGAAAGATTCAACGATGGATTTAGAAACGATACTTTCAAAGGCAAATGAATGGGCCCTCGCAGGTCAACATAAGCAAGCTATTGATTGTTTGTTGCGTATCAATTTAAATATAGCAGATGAGGGAATTGTTAAAAGAGCGTTATTAAAAGCGGCTGGGATGGCTGGAAAATTTTTATTTGGACAAGAAGCAATTGATTGTGTAAGAGTTTTAGCACCAAGGTAAATTTAAGTGTTGCCTTCAAACACATCTTTCTTTTTTTGTCAGTTCCATGTATTTCTGTTTCGCGCCATTTTTAGCCAATTTCTCCTTCCAATCTTCATAATGTCATTCAGCCATCTCCGTTGCGGCCTTCCCACACTTCGATTTGTTGTCTAAAGCCTCCACTGGATGATCTTTTTCGGCCATCTGATACTGTCTTATCTTGCGACATGTCCAGCTTATCACCACTTTAAGCCAGCAATCCTCGCCACTACATCTGAGGTCTTAGTGCGCCTTCGAATCTCCACATTACGCACTCTGTCTCTTAGACTGAGCATTGTCCATGGCTCTTTGGTTTGTTCTCAGCCTATTGGCAATTGACTTGATATCGCAGCCGAGCTAGACATAATGTTAGATCGAAAACTGGAAAGTGTCCGGATTTAAGATTTTGACCCACATCTGCTGATACTTTATGGAACTCCAACATATCTTTCAACTTCTCTGGGTCGCTGCTTATCAGCACGATGTTGTCCGCAAATCTCAGGTGATTTAAGTAGGTGACGTCGATATTCATGCCCTTCTTCTCCCAAGATAGTTTCTTGAAGATGTCTTCCAGTGCCAACGTGATGCAACACCTCTCCCAACTGAGATCTTCTCTATCAGCATCTCCTCATCCAATTTGACCTGTAGTTAAAACAGATCTTGCTTCTAGTATTGCCCATGTCTTGACGGAGTATCTAAAAATGAAAATTTTCAGAGACTAAGTTTTGGTTAAAAAATGAAGGTTTGATAATGTGTTGTTTGTTGGCACGAAATTATATAAGATGATATTAATTTTCCTATCAAAAAGTTAGGTTTTGATGAAGTTTACTGGATAAGAATTGAAGTTGACATTAAATTTTGGATTAAATATAAACGTTTTGATATTTTACTTATTAGGTTCAAGTTTGGTAATGTTATTTGGATTAGTATTAAATTTCCTATTAGACCTCAAGGTTTTGATGAAGTTTAATGGATAGAAGTTGAGATAGAAACTAAGTTTTTAGTTAAATCTTGAAGACTTGACGTTGTTTGGTTTGTTAGGTTGAATTTATTTGGGTTGATATTGAATTTCCTATTGTATATAAAGGTTTCGATAAAGTTTAATGGATTGAAGTTGAGGTAGAAACTAAGTTTTTGGTTAAATCTTGAAGATTTGATGTTGTTTGGTTTGTTAGGTTGAATTTATTTGGGTTGATATTAAATTTCCTATTACATATCGAGTTTTTGATGAAGTTTACGGAATAAGAATGAAGTTGAAATAAAATTTAGGATTAAAAAATAGACGTTTCGTTGTTCTTTTTAGTTATAGTTAATGTGGGTTGGGTTGGTACCAAATTTAAATATCAATTTTTTCGTTGAAGTTTAATGGTTTGAAGTTGAGGTAAAAACTAAGTTTTTGATTAAAACTTAAAGACTTGACGTTGTTTGTTTGTTAGGTTGAATGTATTTGGGTTGATATTAAATTTCCTATTAGACTTCAAAATTTTGATGAAGTTTAATGTATTGGAGTTGATGTAGAAACTAAGTTTTTGGTTAAATGATGTTGTTTGGTTTGTTAAGTTGAATTTATTTGGGTTGATATTATTATTCCTATTAGATATAACTATAATCAAAAACTTGATTAAGTTTACGGAATAAGAATGAAGTTGAAATAAAATTTAGGATTAAAAATAGACGTTTCGATGTTTTATTACGTTATAGTTAATGTTGGTTGGGTTGGAACCTAATTTCCTGTTAGATATTAAGTTTTTATTGAAGTTTAATGGATTGAAGTTGAGATAAAAACTAAATTTTCGGCTAAAACTTAAAGACGTGACGTTGTTTATTTGTTAAGTAAAATTTATTTGGGTTGATATTAAATTTCCTATTAGATATCAAGTTTTTGATGAAGTTTGCGGAATAAGAATTGAAGTTGAAATAAAATTTAGGATTAAAAATTGACGTTTTAATGTTTTATTAAGTTATAGTTAATGTTGGTTGGGTTGGTACTAAATTTCCTGCTAGATATAAAGTTTTTATTGAAGTTTAACGGATTGAAGTTTAGATAAAAACAGATAAAGTTTTTGGTTAAAACTAGAAAACTTAGTAATTCTTTGATAATCTATGAAGACCAGATGTGGATAGATGACTTGGAGGCGGTCTATCGTGCTATAGCCTTTTCGAATAGCTGATAGAAGTCGAATAAGCAAGATAACCTACATTCTTCCACACTGTTGGAATCCTCTGTTCCTGTAGGCATCTCTTCAACAAGATGAGCAATGCTTCCTCCAGTGATATCCCTCCCATCTTTTATATTTTGCCTGTCACTCTGTCTTCTCTGGGAATGAAGCTTAATGGATTGAAGTTGAGGTAGAAATTAAATTTCTGGTTAAATCTTGATGACTTGACGTTGTCTCGATTGTTAGGTTGAATGTATTTGGGTTGATATTAAATTTCCTATTACACTTCAAAATTTTGATGAAGCTTAATGGATTGAAGTTGAGGTAGAAACTAAGTTATTGGTTAAATCTTGAAGACTTGATGTTGTTTGGTTTGTTAGGTTGAATTTATTTGCTATTAGATATCAAGTTTTTGATGAAGTTTACGGAATAAGAATGAAGTTGAAATAAAATTTAGGATTAAAAATAGACGTTTCGATGTTTTATTAAGTTTAACTATAACTTAATAAAACATCGAAACGTCTATTTCTATGTCAGTTGGGTTGGAACCAAATTTCCTGTTAGATATTAAGTTTTTATTGAAGTTTAATGAATTGAAGTTGAGTTAAAAACTAAGTTTTTGGTTAAATCTTAAAGACTTGACGTTGTTTGTTTGTTAAGTTGATTATTAATTATTTGATTAATTATTTGGGTTGATATTAAATTTCCTCTTTGTCCCTGTTTGCGACAAAATAAAATTTTTCCGCTCGAAATCGAGAACTAGTTGTCAGTTGTATCGAGTATGCTGTGACCCTTTTTTACGACTGTAAGTTAAAGATTTTCAGATATTTTTAAGAAATACATATATTTCATTTTAATGTTCTTCTTCTGTGATCTGATGCTTTGTAGATTTGGCTGATGATGACATGTAAACATGTCGAAACCGGTACCATGTAGATAAAATATAATTTTCTGTTCCTCATCCTCTTTAAAGCAACTCGCAGCTTCACCACTATCAATCTCTGGTACCTCCAATGAGCCCACATTTAAGATGTTCCGCCTCTTATCGATTACTATGTTGTGCGGCTTCTTTTGTGACGATTTCTGTTACCTCATTTTTCATCTTGAATATTTGTTTTTTTCTCGAATCATCTTGGGTCGTAGGACTCACATGTTGGTATTGTCTGCCATTGTTTAAAGAACCAATTGGGTGTCATGGTTCCTCACATCTTTACATAGATACTACACCCCACAATAAATAGCATTAAATATTTATTTTCTAATTTTAGATTAATTTCAATTGGTGAACACACAGTTGCTGCTCAACTATACGTTAACGCAGACTTAACCAAAGATGCAATCGATACCTTCATTTCCGCCGAAGATTGGGTTAGGGCAAGAAAATTAGCTAAAGAACTCGAACCTGCTTACGAAGCATACGTTGAAAGTCGTTACAAAGACAGATTACTCACCGAGGGAAACGTGGAGCAATTAGCAGACGTTGACATAATCGGCGCTTTAGATTTATTAGTCGAACAAGGTCAATGGGCGAGATGTATTGAAAAAGCAAAATCTCACAGTGCGCCGGTTTTGCATAAATACGTCGCGTTGTATGCCTCGCAATTAATCAAAGAAGGTTTTATTGCTGAAGCTTTGAAATTGTACATAACATACGGGGTTCCGGCTGTAACTCAAAATTTTAACATTTACAACCAAATTAGTGTGAATATCTTTTCAATGACTGATACATATGATTCAGAAAGTTACGAGTTATGGAAAAGATTGAGGCAAATGCTATACGAATTAAACGAAGGAACAGAAGTTTTACCATCGTCAGATATTCAATACAAAATACATTTTAAAACGTTATTAATCATATCTCATTTTAATACTTTGAGGATTGCTTGTAAACAAGTTAGCCCTTTAAAAGGGATAGCTTTAAAGTTATCTGTGGGTTTATTAAGATACACAGATATTTATCCCGCTGATAAAGGCTTTTATGAAGCCGGAATTGAATTAAGAGACTCGGGAAGAATCGGAGAAGCATTTGTATTTCTTAATCATTATTTAGATATTTGTGAAGCTATTGAGGAAGGAGAAGGTCAATTAGTTGATCACACCGATTTTGTACAAACAGATTTTCCATCGAACGTTCCCATTCCAGAAAATTTATACTTGGAAAATTCACGCCAAGAACATGATAGCGTTCGAGAATGGGTATTAACAATTAGCATGGATCAAAATGTTGATCAAACCCTTCCTTTGGATGACCGAGGAATGTATGAGTCAAGTTTAATTAACGGTGAAAATCCTTGTATTATTTCTGGGTATCCTCTATCGAATAAAACAGTGACTTTTTCAAAATCATCGTATGAAGCTAATAAAGAAATTTGGTTAAAAATTAATATGGCTGCAAAGATGTATCCAGATAGTAATATTTCGAGTGAATTAACTTTTATACAAAATTGGCTTGGAACACCTTCTGTTGTATAGATACAAAGAATTTTTTATTAGATGTATTTATTATAATAATTGCAAATGAACAAATAAATATTTTAAGAAACATGTAATGTTGAAAGAGTGTAGTGACAATAAATTAAGGATGAATGAACTCCTTTTGTAATTCTCCACTGTAATCTACCACTATGTAGTACATCTAAAGACTCCTAAATATACCTACTTTACCATATGTCTTGAAACAGAAACAGAGAACACAAATATATAATGTGTTAGTGTTCTTAATTTTCAACTATGCTATACTTGATATTATATTCATATCACTAAAAATCAGGGTTAAAAACTGTCATTTATGAAAGTATTTTGAGATTGTCTGTAAACCAATGTTTTACACTGTCTAATGTCTTAATTATATCAATGATAAAAGTCAAGAATAACTATGCATATGTAGAGGAACACATGAAGTTGGCAGAATTTCGTAGAGTAAAAGTTCCTTATAAAAATAAATTTCTATTAAATAGGATTAAATCAAAAATAAGTCAGCTTGTTCAACAACATGAAATGGTCCAGCTGTTTGAAGGACAGTCTTGATGATACCAATATACAGGGTGATTCACATAAGAACCGACGCAGAGATGTAGAAGACAACAAATTAAGATAATTTAACGCAACTTATCTCTATACCAAGTTATACCCCTGAGGAGTTATAGGCTTTCAAAGTTGGGTCTTAAATTTTTAAAATATTAAATATTTTCGTAATACATTAAGCTAGAAAAACCAAAATTGGTAGCAAGTTGATACCAATTGAGGCATTTCAAAGGGTTGATTAAGGGTAATGGTCTCCCCCAAAATTTTGACAGATTTTTTTTACCTTTTGGTGGATTTAATACTTTATTACCTGATTTCATGTGGAAATTAATTCTAAAACTTTTTTTACATTTATTTTTTAAAATACATTGTCGTTTTCATAAAAAACTCAAATAACTAACGACACGTATTTCGTTAATGCTACTTAAAATCATCGAAACTTTAGTAGTCGGCTGTGAAATTGTACGGCAAACTTAACAAATAGGTTATAAAACCTTGTCAAATAACTTTATAACTTACATACGTGTCTTTACTTATTTAAGTTTTTTATGAAAACGATAAAGTTTTTTAAAAAACAATTAGAGTAAGAAAAGTTTTAGAATTAAGTTCCACGTGAAATGAAGTAGCAACGTGTTAAATTCGCCAAAAGGTTAAAAAAATCTGTCCAAATTAAGGATAAACTTAATCAACCCTTTGAAATGACTCAATTGAGTTCAATTTACTACCAATTAATACCCTTGGTACACTCATAACGTATACCAAATTTGCTTTTTCTAGCTTAATGTATTACAAAGATATTAAACTTTTTAAAAATTTAAGAGATTTTATTACAAAAATAATATAATAATTAGTGTTAAGGGGGCGGTTCAAAGCGTCCATTTTTATATACGCCGGGAGAGGTTACGTAGATGTACATTCACGACTTAATGCTACATATTTATAAAAAAGTAAATACGTAGGCTTGAAGTACATATATTACTCTACGGAATGACATATTTAGTATTCTAAAATAATCATGACGCTGACAGAAATAAATTACGAAAGTTAGTCATAATAAGGGCTTAATACAAATCGTTCTCTAGAAGAGATTAGGGACTTAAACGAGGTGGCAAATATGTCATCTAATGCTTATGTATCTTAGGAACAGATTCCGTATTCGTAAAAGTGCAATAGCTGTGTGATTATTTCATGAATGTGTTTTTTCTGAAGATATGCGATTTTGTCACAATTTTTAGTCATTACGAAAAGGTGTAAAATGGGTTGCCTAAAATCGACAAAACAGTACTAAGTAAACCTTTGGCAATTACTTTGTAGATGGCTTTAGGTACTAATTAAAAATTTAAAAAAAAAATAAATATAAAAAATAATTAATTGCCAATAAAATGTTATAAAACGTATTATAAATTGATTACTAATCTTGAGTTGGTAATAACATTTGTTCATGGCCAATTTCTCTTTTAACTACTGAGTAAATAAATATATATAACAGATAGAAGATTTGTAGGCAATTATGAATGAGTTGCTGATCACAGTCCTTCCGCCCTAATTTTTAGTGATTATATTAACACTGAGAAAGTAAGAAATAACACAGCAAATTGTTATCAAGATATAAGAACATAAATAATCTAAAGTAAAGTAATAATAATTTGTAATAGACATAGATAACAATAATACTATTTATTCACAAAAAAAACGGTTCTACATTATAAAAAATAATAAAAATCAATAACAACTTTAATTTTATTTTACAATAAAAAAACCATCTTAGAATAACAATTTTTACAAAACTATTTCACAATAAAAAACCATCATATACAGGGTGTTTCGGTGACTCGGGGAACAAATGTAACCACATATACTAGAGTGAAAATGATGACGATTCATGTAAAAAAAATTAGTAAAAGTCCTCAAATTGCAAAGATACAGGCCATCAAAGTTATGAAATTTTAACACATTTTTCTAAATATCTTAAACACTATTTATGGTAAAGCGTTGAAATTTGGTACAGCGTAAACTAACATCACGTAAAATCATTAGGCAATTTTTGAGTTGGATCGGTACGCGGGAACAATGCTATACAGGCTGTTCATAAAGTTTGTTTGCTCAGAACTTTTTTATCCTATCATTACCCTACATTTATTTTTGCATTTTCTAATAGTAAATTTAGTTTAGAAACTTTTATCACTCTTAGAGAATATTGATAAAAACCACCGTTTCCGTATTAAATGCAAAAATGTTAGGCTCCGAATTCAATAACACTAAAAAAAATAAATAAATAAATAATTTGAATTAGCAATGACAAGTGAAAATCGAACTGAGCTGTCATAACTATTATGTATGCAACATGTCCAAGTGTAGATTTAGCTAAATCACATTTTTAATTTGTTTTAGTTGGTTTAATAAAAGAACTCAAAAACAATAAATTAAAAATCAACACTAACAGGAATAATAAAAAAAGTACATAAAATAACAAGACAAGTAATAAAAAATACTAAAGAATGTTCAAAAACATGGCATTTTCAACTCGAATTGTAGATTACTGTAAATTTCGCTATAAGTTATATCTGTTTGCCGCTAGATGGCGCTAAGAAATTACTTAAACCAATATTTTATTTCCTTTTAATTATATCACTTTTATATACAAACGTTGTCTAAGCTATTTTAGTTGAATCCTATGCGTATATGAAACACATGTTATTAAAATTGAGTGATTTTTAAACAAATTTCAACATCTCACAATTTCTCAAGATTTTATATGACATGGCTCAGGACATTTTATATGTGTAACCTAACAACCCTGCCTATAACTCCTCAGGGGTACAACTTAGTATAGAGATAAGTTGCGTTAAATCATCTTAATTTATTGTCCTCTACATGTCCCTGCTTTGTGTCGGTTCTTATGTGAATCACCCTGTATATTGTTATACTATGTATTTTTATGCATTGTATCATCATTGTATAAAGCAAGATGCAGCTGATTATCTGGAACTTTTTATGTAGATGAAGATGTGCTAAAAGAGAACGTTTTCACTTACATACATATCTTGGACAAACAATACTGATGAATGGTTCCTTCTAAACTGATTTTGGCAGAAGTAGCCAAAATTAAGAAGTTATGAAACGAATTTCTTTTAATTTTCAACTTCCTTATTCTTATTATATTTGAATAAATTCCTAATTTTAATATTTGAAATTAAATAAACCTATAAAAACGTTTTTTTGCTTACTTTTACATTTTACTTTTACTGCATTATTTATGAAAATTATGCAACCTTATTAACACTCGTGTCAATATAGTTGCCTATCATCTAATAATATTAACACATGATTTAAGACCACGCGGATTTGCGGTGTTTTGGTTATTTTGATAGATTTCAATATAAACAATTTAATTATTAAACAAAAATATGGGGAAGAAAGATAAAAATAAAAAGAAAGGTAAAGGTGCGGAAAAAACCGCGGTTAAAACCGAAAAGAAGATGAGCTCAAAATTAAAAAAAGAACTTGAAGCTAAAGGTGAGGTGAGTTAAAAGATACAATTGTAAATTCATTCTAATTAAACACCTTATTTTATTTCTTAATAATGTAGGAAGACATAGAAACGATTCTTGCACAACTTGAAAAAGAAGAAAAAGCACGATTAAAAGTAACAGAAACTTTGGTTGAACCACCATCGAGAAGATTAAATTTCAGTCTTGTTGCTCATCCATTAAAAGAGGAATTAATTTTATTCGGTGGAGAATTTTATAATGGCCAAAAAGTAAATTTAACCTATTTAATTTATTGATATCTAAAATCCTTTTTTGTAGACTTTTCTTTATAATGATCTTTATTTTTACAACATCCTAAACAATACTTGGACTATTTTAAAAGCACCCGGTGCCCCCCCACCAAGATGTAGTCACCAAATGGTGGTTAGTTCAGTAAATAAAGGCCAATTATGGATTTTTGGTGGTGAATTTTCGAGTCCAACTCAATCTCAATTTTATCACTATCGAGATCTTTGGTTATTTAATTTATCTGCTAAAACATGGGAGAAAATCCAAGCTCCAAATGGACCAAGTGCTCGAAGTGGTCATAGGATGGTTTATCATAAAAAAATGATCTTTGTGTTTGGGGGGTTTCACGATAATTTAAGAGATTATAAATACTTCAATGATCTATTTTGTTTTAATACTGAAACATATTCTTGGCATAAAATTGAAGCTCCAGGAAGTGTTCCAAATCCAAGGTCAGGTTGTTGTTTTGTTCCATTAAATGATGGAAAGCTTTTGGTTTATGGAGGTTATAGTAAAGAAAAATTAAAAAAGGATGTTGATAAGGGACATTTTTATACTGATTCTTTTTCATTGGTGCAAGATAAAAATGATCAAACCGGTTTAAAATGGAAATGGACCCAAACAAAACTTTCGGGGATTTCACCTTCATCAAGATGTAGCATGCCCATAACGATCGCACCAAATGGATATGCGTATTCTTTTGGGGGCGTTTTTGATGTTGAGGAAGATGAGGAAATATTACGCGGGAAATTCTTCAATGATTTTTTTAGTTTAGATTTAGAAAAAAATAATTGGAGGTTAATTACTCTGCAAAAACGTAAGGATAAAACTAAATTAAAACAGGAATCTTCTGAAGCAATGGATGAAGATGATAAAAAAGAAGATGAAGAAGAAATTAGAAAAACAGAAACCACTACTATAGCTGATGATGGTGTTTTTAAAGTTACAATAGGCCCTGCAGCTTCAACTTCAAACACAACTCAGATGGAGAGTGGAAAAGATGATGATATTTTTGTACCTTGTCCAAGAATGAATTGTGGTTTAGCTGTTAAACATGGTATTTTGTATTTGTATGGGGGAATGTTTGAGGATGGTGACCGTCAAGTTACTTTATGTGATTTCTATTCTTTGGATTTAAAAAAATTGGATGAATGGAAAACGATTATTGGTGATACAGAAACTCAGGAATGGATGGATTCAGATTCTGATGAGGATGAAAGTGATGATGAGGAAGGAGATGATAAATCAGGCGAAGAAGATATGGAAACTGATTAAAAATCTAATTTTATTAAATAATATTAATAAAACATTTTCTTTACTTAATTTATAATTTATTTTTCTCAAACATCTATATAGCTTAGATCTTAGCTATCAATTAAAACATTCTATGGCCAAGATGGTTGTTCACCTTCCTTTAATACCCTTCCATACAAAGCACTTTTATCGCGGAATAACACCATCCTTTCGGTTTCTTTCCTATCCAAAAACCATCCTATTCCATATCCAACAAGGGGAAAAGTCATCAAAGGAAAGAATTGACAACATCAAAAATGTGAGCTCTTAAATTGAAAAAATGTTAGAATTATCAAAAAGTATCAGGTGAAATTAAAAAATGACAGAACACACCAAAAACTTAAAAATTCTTGAAAATATCAAAATTGCGAAAATAATTGTGTAGAGTTGATAGTGTCAAAAAATGTCAAAAACAGTTTGATAAGTATAAAAATTGCTCGAAACTGTCAAAAATTGCAGGTTGAGTAGAGTTCTTAAATTCAAAAAATGACAGAAAACATCAAAACCTTAAAAATCTTGGAAACATCCAATTTGTGAAGATATTAAAAATCATTGTGTTGGGTTCAAAGTGACAAAAAGTGTCAAAAATGTTAAAAACGGTTAGGTAAGTACAAAAATTTCCAAAAAGTATCAAAAATATCAGATTGAGTTGAGTTTATAAATTAAAAAAAAATTTCAGCAATGTCAAAAAGAGTCAGGTGAAGATAAAAAGTGACAGAAAGCATCAAAAACTTACAAATCCGTGAAAATATCAAAATTGTAAAGGCATTAAAGATGATTGTATTGGGTTGATAGTGTCAAAAAGTGTCGAAAACGTCAAAAACAGTTAAGTAAGTATAAAAATTGCTAGAAACTGTCAAAAATGTCAGGTTGAGTAGAGTTCTTAAATTCATAAAATATCACAAATGTGGAAAACAGTCTGGTGTAGTTAAAAACTGGCAGAAAACATTAAAAAACTTAGAAATTCTTGGAAATATCCAATTTGTGAAGACATCAAAGACGATTGTATTGGGTTCAGAGTGCTAAAAAGTGTCAAAAATGTCAAAAACAGTTAGGTAAGTATAAAAATTGCTAGAAAATATCAAAAATGTCAGATTGAGTTGAAGTAATAATAGTAAATAAATTGTTTGCCGTTTTAGATTAACTAAATTAAAAAAAAACATTTTCCAGTTTCGCCACCAGTATGGCATCTGGTAAAAAAAGAGAGGAACTGAAGAAGAAAACCGACAATTTAATCAGGATTGGATGGAGTCGTTAGCATTTATATGCAACACAAATGGCCTTATGACTTGTCTCATTTACCACGAAAAACTCGCAAACGATAAGAAGTCAACTTTGGAGAGACATTTCACTACACAACATACCCAGTTTGCTGATAAATATTCAACCGGTGACGCACGAAAAAAGCAGTCAAAAACAACAACAGTCAAGTTCCATGCTAAGTAACTGGGCGTAATCTTCCAATAATGAAAAATTTTGCAAGCTTTGCAGTATTATTAAAAATTGCACAAGGAGGAAAACCATTCACACATAGTGACTACGTCAAAGATTATTTTACAGGTGCATCTGAAGAACTGTTTCGTAATTTTAAAAACAAAGCAGAAATCATGAAAAAGAAATCAAAGATTTGCCATTATCTGCTAAAACAGTACAAGATAGAACTGCTAAAATGTCTTCAAATGTAACATATGCAAGTGGAAGACATACAAGTGGTTTCTGCCTTATCAGTTGCTATAAATAAGTCTTGAGACATGAAAAAAAGACACGGCACAAGTTACCCTTTTCGGCAGGTATATGTCAAAATCGATATAAATAAAATTGTTTCTATAGCAACTGATGGAGCTCGAAGTATGATAAGTTGATAAGAATACATAGAGGGGTAACATCAATTCTTTAGAAAAAAATAAAACACGAAATCCTAACGTTTCAACATTGCCGGTCGAAATATTTGAGGTCATGAACTTGGTTATTAAGATTATTAACAGCATCTTGGCAAAAGCAATTTACCATCGCCAGTTTAAAGATTTCCTTGCAAGAAATAGATAGCCAGTTTTCTGGTCTACTCCTGCACAATAAAGTGGGATGGCTTTGCAGAGATAACGTATTGCAACGTTTTTGTGCTTGAGTGAAATAAAAACATTCCTCAATGATCAATGCTTTGACCATCGCGAATTAGAAGAAGACAAATGGCTGCAAAAATTCAACTTCATGGTAGATACCACAATGAAACTAAATGAACTAAATCTAAAACGGCAAGGAAAGAGCAACCCAGCCTGCGCCGTGCTTGAAGTAGTTTGTTTCGAAAAAAATTACTTCTTTCTCTTGAAGACATGGAGAGCGGTAAATTACTTCATTTTAAAAATCTGAAGCAATATAGCGATGATACCAATGCCACTATTGACATGAATTACTTCAGCATAGTTTTAAAAAACATGAAGGATGGATTCGCTAAGAGATTCGAGCAATTCAAAACAAACAAAAGTACTCTCGCATTCATAGTAAATCCTCTCAACACAAGTACAAATGAGATCAATATTGAGCCACTTGGAATTGAAGCAAATGCAATTGCTAGATTTGAAAACCAAAGACTTGTGGAGTGGAAAGTTCATAGAACTCAAAAGCAAGTTGGAATAGTTGAAAGTCCAGAAAAGCATGGACATCGAGCAGCACAAGTGAACAGCTCTAAAAGAAATTCCGCGAGTTGAGGCCCTCATATTCGGCGTATGGAATAGTCTTCCAGAATGCTACAGTGAGGTGAAGAAGTTGGCATATAGAGTGCTGACGATCTTCTGATGGCTTCAGAATTGGATAAGGATAGAAGTTATGATGAAGAAGGAGATGATGGGTCAGGCAAAGAAGATATGTAAACTGATTAAAAATCTAATTTTATTAAATAATATTAATAAAACATTTTCTTTACTTAATTTATAATTTATTTTTCTCAAACATCTATATAGCTTAGATCTTAGCTATCAATTAAAACATTCTATGGCCAAGATGGTTGTTCACCTTGCTTTAATACCNTTTCGCTTTTTATTTTGGATTAATACTGTTTTTTAAACATCGATACAATTAATATACGCATAATATTCGAAAACCGCTGCATTAAAAAAAATAAATTTAATAATTAGCGCCATCTGTGAGGCGAATGACAAAGTTTTGTTCTACTGATTTATACAGATTTCTTTATGAATTCCCAATATTTCCACGAAATCGCACATTTTCCATTACTCAAATTTTGAGATAAAGTCTAGTTACACGTAATCTCTTCCTACATTCTACGAATATCCTTCAAGCGTTGGCGCCTCAATTTAGAGTTTAATTTCTCGTAAAAGTCGCTTTACATCAAGTGCTATTCATGACAAAACTTTAGGATTTTTTTTATGTTACAAATACAGCGCGTTACTTTTCAACGCGGAATACTTCAATGAGTAGAAAAATGTGTGTACTTGAATTCTATGTATTCACTTTTTCATAATAATTTGCCATGAAGTTGTAACTTGGGTAAAAACTAACCTCTACCAGCACAAATCTGAAATTCTTGACAAATTGAGTCGTGCCGATCGTGCCATCTGTGAATAAGATACCCAACTATACTTGTTACCAGAAATGTTTGTTGTTAGTGACGCATCCCTTTATTGATGTTCTATTGTTATTTAATCGTGTCAGCGATGTTAATGGATGTTAATGTCATTTTGTTTCCGAACAAAGATAATGTCATTTGGAAGAAGCTTCTCTGATAGTGTTACCGGCTTTTTCACAATAAACTTTACAAAAATGTCCCAATGGAGTCTTTCTTGTAATCTTTACTTTGAAAATTATCTATCAACAAACAGAAAATTGAAGATTTATTACAATTCGGTATTCTAAAGGTGATGTGGAAGATGGTAATGGTGTCATGGTATGGATAAAGTAATAACCTAAAATATCTAATTAAAAACCAAATGCAAAAAAATTTACAAAAATACACAATATTACATTTTTTAAATATTTTTGATGTATTGTTAAATGTATATAATTCTTTTCTATGTTTATGTTTTAGGTAGACTGAAACATGTTGAAGGATAGACACTAGAGATTGAAGGAATTAATTCTTTAATGATAATTAAAGAATGTAATAAATGGAGACACTTAAATTTTTGAAGACAATGTTATAGTTCAACAGGTAATAGTTATTTTGTGAAAAACATTGTTCCTAAATTATTCTACTTAAGATGCTCATTTTGTATTGTAGAAAATGTAGAACAGAAATTATATTATACATAACAGGGTTCGTCTGATTTGAATCAGTATTTAAAACATGATTTTAATCAATGATTTAATCAAGTAATTTTTTATAGTAATAATTTAAATCAAAAGAAAAATGAAAGTAAATATATTTTTTATTTAAAAACTGGTAAACCACACAATTAAATACTAAGACAAACAAAAACAATATATGGGGTGATTCACATAAGAACCGACACACATGCAGCTTACCTCTATACTAAGTTGTACCCCTGAGGAGTTATAGGCTTTCAAAGTTGGGTCTTAAATTTTTAAAACATTCAATATCTTAGTAATACATTAAGCTAGAAAAATCAAATTTGGTATACAGGGTGACTGGTACATAAACGTGAATATTGAAATACATTGTTCTAGCGCTCATTTGTAATTGATTAAGCCAAATATGCCTTATGCAAAGCTGAATAGTTTAGGATTTATTTCAATTTTTCTTTTTTTGTAGAAGTTCAGTATATACTCTTACAAATCTTGAAATTTAGAGAGTAATAACAGTTTCTTTCTCAATGTATTGACTCCTCTGGATAGATTACACTCTAATACACATTTTAAGTTGAAAAACATTTTAAATATTTCGATGCTTTAAAAATATAGGGTGTGAAATATTCGATTTTTAAGTTAATTTTTAAATAATGTGTTCATTTACGAGCGTTTATTTCAAAATTTTGATAATACATTTAGCGTACCAATTATTGTAAAAACTTCTCTGTTTTCTTACATTTCGAATAAGGTATTAAGCATGGCAAAATGTCTTTCTAATTACCCAATAATAAGATAACAAGTGGCGCGAATACAATTTTGTCAACCTACCCAAAGTTAATAAAGTCAAAATTGATTACACCTACTGTTTATTGTTGCTTATTGGAACTAAAACATATGCGGCCATCATGCCGAAGTGTAGTGTGTGTTCGCAAAACGTTTCGCGTTATGATGACACAATTATCTGTTCAATTAATCAATGTGCTCGAGCATACCATACAAAGTGTGTTGGCATTGACGACAAAGTGTTACTGGACCTCAAGACAACCGGGAATGTTGGAAACTGGGTCTGTCAACTTTGTAAATCTGAACCTAACCTCCAAGGTTCAATTAACAAAAAGAATACAATAAATATTGGGTCAGAGTCTACAACACCCACTACCAACGTTAATATCGAAAATATCGACAGTATAATATCATCTAAGGTAAAATTTGCTATAAATTTGATTACCGAAGAGGTTATCTTCTTCTTCTGTTTCCAGGTTGGGTGTTGGAGTTCGAACTTTTGTTCATATCATACTCCAGTATCCAGGTTTATTATGTTGTTTACCCTCTTCTATATTCAATTGTTTCTTCAGCTCCTTTATGCCCCGTGGATTAGTTTATGGGAAAATATTAAAATACATCAAAATACAAGACAAACATATACAGATTATTCTTCTGCGAGCCAGAGGCCTAGTGACTCGACTTATGGGTGTTTTGGAAGGCCCTCGGATTCATTTTGGTGATAAAGGATTCAGGTACATGTGTTTGAGATCGGGAATAATTACTTGTGAAATCATACAGTTATCACAGTATTTTTCCTATCTCTATCTGTATTACTAATCTATTTTGGAACAATATTCCAATACATCAGCATGATGCATTGTTTGTTCTCAAAAATCTATAGATATACAATTTAATAAATGTATTGCTGATTATCACAGTCATTATTATATTCCTATCACATTTTATCACAGATTTTCCTTTTCTTTATCACAGTTGAATTCCTGATTGAGTTACAAATTCATATAACAGCAAGTAAATATCGAATGATGCTTGTGCCAATAGGGTTCTTAAATTGGTTGGGAGATGAGATTTCAAGTCAATCAGACTTTTAATTAAATTGATTCTTTGTCTTTCATATTTATTGCATTCAAAAAAGATATGATCAAAATCCCCTTCCTTCCCGCATGTGCAGAAAGGATCGTCTCTAAGTTTAATTTTGTGTAAGTATTCCGGTGTAAGGGCGTGGCCCAGTCTTAATCTTGATATCAAGGTATAGAATTGTCTATTTGCAAAGGGTCCGCTTCTGAACCAGGGTACTTTTTGAATGGATGGTTGTATCTTTGCGTAGTTGATACCTTTCAGTTTAGATGTTGTTTTCCATTCACTCTCCCATTCCTGTTGTATGTTTCTTTGCAGAATTCGGAATATGTCTTCTCCGGGGATTTCGATGTCAATAATTTCATCTCCGTGACCCATTGCTGCCAGTTGATCCGCCTTTTCGTTACCCTTGATCCCTGTATGTCCAGGAATCCATGCCAAGTGGATTTCGAGGCCTCTTGTATGTGCTCTGTGTAACAATTCAATTATTTCTAAAACATACGGGTGCGTGCGAGTCTTGAAACTAAATTCTTTTATAGCTTCGACTGTGCTGAGGGAGTCCGTCAAAATAGCTGCCTTCGTAATTCCTCTCTCCAGACACACTCTGATCGCTAATGATACGGCGAAAGCCTCTGCCCCAAAGATGGATAGCTGTTCGGGGACATGTATATGTTCTTCCAATGCCATCGTAGGAGAATAAATACCACAAGCAACACTCTCACCTCTCTCCTTCCGAATGGAGCCATCTGTATAAAACTGGTGGGATGCCGACCACTCTTCCTTCACGTAATTTTCCACCTCTGCTCTTATTATGTTATTTTGTTCAGTGCATGTTCCCTTGCGTGACATAGCGCCAGGAATTCTTTTGACGATTGGACGCCATTGTCTTGTCTCGTATGCCAAAGAGTGCACCCCAAGGTCTCGATCCTTATAGATATAGTCTATGTATGGTCTTATGTTCTTGTATATCCCAATGATGAGAGGAGCCCTTGATCCTTGTAAATTTTCATAGGTTATAATCAGTTTATTTATTTTGTCGTTCCACATGCCACCAACCCTGGACACACTTCTCACTGCAAATCTAGTCCCCAATAATTTGGCTCTAGTTTCCAACGACGTCTCCCCAGCTTCGATCGTCAATGCGTTTGTAGGTGAAGATCTTAAGGCTCCCAGTATCAGCCGATATGCCTGATAAGCTATTCTCTGGAGTGACGACATCGTGACCACAGGTAAGGGCATCATAATCCATAGCCCATATTCCAATCTAGATCGGATAATGGCCTTGTATAACGTACTCAAAATGAGTGGGTCTCCACCCCACTTTGTCGATGCAAGAGACCTCATGAGATTTACTCCGCCTATACATACCTTCAGTACATGGTTTACGTGCATTTTCCAGCTGAGTTTAGTGTTCAGATGGAACCCCAGATATTTAACATTCTCGGAGTATTGGATTTCTTGTTGGTGATAGTGTAGTATGGGACGATCTATACTTCTTTTCCTCGTGAAAAGCATAGCTTTTGTTTTTGTGTGTGATATGTCAAGTTTTCGATGTTCTAAAAATTCTCGCAATGAGTCCAGTGCACTATTTATTGTCACTGCTGCATCATCCTCATCATCAAAGACTGAATAAATTACTAGATCATCCGCATATGTTATGGCTTGTACCTTAAATTTCTCCATCTGCTCATTTAGTCCTGACATGTAAATATTAAAGAGAATAGGACTGAGAGCGCTCCCCTGTGGTAGTCCTCTGTAGTTTGTTCTTTGGCCAAGATTATTATGATCTGATTTTAGTTTTATAATTTTCTGGGACATCAGCCTGTGAACCATCGACGCGAATTTTGCTGGAGCACCAGTTTCCTTAATGATTTTAGTCAACGTTGGAATGTGAACATTATCGTAAGCTCCTTCGATATCTACAAAAACTGCTAATAAAGATTTTCTAAGTTTTAGGGTTGATTGTATTTCTGCGACGAAGGTCGAAACGGCGTGGTGCACTCCTCTGCCCTTTCTGAATCCAAACTGACTTTCATCAAATATTTGGTTGTTCTCAAACCACCAGTCAAATCTGTCCGCTAGGATGCGTTCGAAAATCTTTCTAACACATGAGAGCAAGGAGATTGGCCGATAGCTGGAAGCTTCGTTTGGATTTTTTCCCGGTTTTGGAATAGGTACAACGGAAACCTCGCTCCATTCGGACGTCATCTCATTATCATTCCATAATCTATTATAAATATTCTGAAGGTTCACTTTATATTCGTATGGAAGATTTTTAAGCATGGAGTAGGATATTTCGTCTGTTCCTGTAGCAGAGTCTTTTCTATTGTGCATAGCTCTCTCTATTTCCATCATTGTAATTGAAGCCTCACAACCGTTGTTTACGTGTTCGCTTGGTGTTGGTTCCTCCAAGGTGAGCTCTTCCAGCGAGGGAACGTATGCCGGACATAAAGTGTTCAAAAATGCTTCGTTCCACCTATTATCCGTTGACGGCCCAGAGTGGGAATTAAATACTGCCCTCTTATATATCTTAATTTTTCTCCAAATGTCTCCAATCGGTGTCTCTCGGTTTAAGGAACTGCAGAAATTTCTAAAATGCATTCTCTTCTTTAGCAATAGGAACCTTTTGGATGTTGCTATATGTCTCTTGGCAATTACAAAATTGATTTCAGTTCTATCTCTCATATAAATCTTAATTACATGTTGTCTTATGTTTACCATTCTCTGGCATTCTTCATCCCACCAAGGACACGGGTTTCTTCGTTTTCTTTCGTCTTTTATAACGACACTCTCGACCGCATCATGCATGTTTTTGGCAAAGTTTTCGTATGTTATATTTTCATTTAAACTCTTGCTTTCCAAAAATTCTCGGTATTTTCCCCAGTCTCTGGTTTTTGGCCTATTGGGAATTTTCTTTATAGTTGGTATCCTGGTATATCTGGCGTCTGATACTATTACTTCTGCAAAGACCGGAAAATGGTCACTGCCAAGTGTGTCCCATCCGGTGTAACAGTTTATTCTATCGACCAACTCTTCCGAGGACAGGATTAGGTCGATTATACTTTGATTCTGCTTGGCGTATGTAAAAAGTGTCGGTCGACGGTCATTTAGGACTTGCAAATCTCTTTCCGTAATAATCTCTTGAAGAGCTTTTCCTTTAAGATCATCATAGGCACAACCCCACGTCCTGTGGTGTCCGTTAAAGTCTCCGGTAATGATGTAATTCTCGTCTGTTCCATATAACACCTGTCTCCAATGTTCGATTGTAAAATGCGAATCCGGAGGAATATAGCCTGCAATTAAATTGATATTATTGATTTTAATTTTAATGAAATGAGTGTTTACTACTGGTTCTCTTATAGCAATCTCCTCGTAAACAAGAGGTTTTCTTATGAGGACCGATAGGCCTCCATATCCATCATCTCTCAGTTTTTTGATGTGGTAGTAATTTGGGGTTGTAAAATGTATATTTTCTTTTAGCCATGTTTCACAGACGACTATAACGTCTTGCTTGTTATCTTTAAGGAATCCAAAGAGGCTTGGTTTGTTCTTAATAATACTCCTAGCGTTCCATGTCATTACTTTTAGTTGTTTGTTATTCATTGTCCAAGACATGATACATGTTATAATATGCATGTTCCTTACCTATTTGATTGTCCAATTTTTTGGGGGAGCGGGGTGTTATTTTCTCTTGCATCTTGCTTCCGCTGTCTTTGTACTCGGTGCTGGAAGTGGAGGGCCCCGCCTCCGAGTCCATGTACCAATCTTGAACCTGTCGCGGTCCGGGTGTTATAATGGGTTGTGACGAAGTGTGGTCATCCCAATGTGGGGTGTTTTTATGAGTTTTTTTATCGGAGTTGTTGGTAAACAGAAGTTCACTTGGAACGTCTGTTTTTCGTCTTTTTCCTGGTAGAGTGGTTGTAGGTGGCTTTTGTGAGATAGTGATTGTCTTTTTATAATTTTTCTTGAGATCATTATGCTGAGTTGTTGTTTCCAGGTATCCATCTTTTGACATTTGATGTCTATTCTCACTTCTGCTCATGGTTTTTAGTTCTGGATATCTTTTAGGATCGACTATCAGTTGGCTTAACAGTGGAGAATTTCTTTGATTATTTAGTGTTTCCCCACCTACCTTTTGTGCGGCTTCATAAAAAGAGTAGCTATATTTCGTCATCACCTCCTTGATTTTTCTTTGTCTTACATATTCTTGACATTTTCTTTGGTTTGCTGGGGTGCCCCTTTCATTGCTAAGGTGGTTTTCTCCGCAAAAGGTACATTTTGGATTCTCTTTGTTAGTACAAAACTCTAATTTGTGTTCCTGGGAGCAGGCTGGGCATCTTTCTTTTGATTTACACTGAGATCCCGTATGTCCATAACGGAGACAGTTGTAACATTGGATAACGGGGGCAATATACGGTTCTGGGTGACGAATACACAAGAAGAGCGATACAGTTGATGGAAGGACAATTCCTCTAAATGTGGCAACTACTGATGCTGTGTTTACATACTGGATTCCGTCTTCAGTCATGATTCTTCTCTTCATACGGTGCACATGTAATACTCTTTCGCCTCCATCGGTTTCGAGATGTGATAGAAGCTCTTCTACGGTCATTCGATACAGACTATGAACGGAGCATAATCCTTACTTAAATATAACAATTTTGGCTTGGGTATGAACGCAATATCGTTTTTAATTAACACTTTGGTCCATAACTCAACTGTTTGGTTTGATATAGGCGCTTTGAGGCCTTTCTGGTTGGTATAAAAACCCAATTTCAGGCAATCACGTGTTTCAAGTAATATATCTTTTGATAATAAAATTTCAGCCAAAGTCGCTTCGTCAATATTTCCGATATTACTTTCTAAATAGTCAATTATATTCGCTGCGGTCGTTTTTTTTTTTTACTTTCGTCAATAAGATTAATAAAAGAAGCTAAAATTGGAGGTGGCGTACCACCTCCGCTTTCGGAGTCCATTTTAGGATCGCTTTCAATGTGTTTTTTTGGTTTTTATTCTTTATATTCTAAGTTATATTATGATACAGATAGTTTAACAGGACAGGGATAACAAACAATAACAGTTAAACACTTAAAACTTACCACGGGGCAGTTTATTTACTTATTCGGAGCAATTTACTTTCGTTCAGCGTACACACCGAACACACGTTGGGTTGAATTCAATTGATTTTTGGTTATTATAATATAAAAATACAACTTTATTAATATTAAAGTAATTTGGCTATTCGATTATAGAGGGCTCTCAATAAAATCTTACTAAATCATAAAATTAAAAACTTTTTTCTTTTAGGGATTATTCTTTAATAAATTTACGACGATTTTTATATAAATAAAATTAATTTAAAAAGATTAATTAACCGTTTATAGAGTGACATAACAAAACATAATATTGAAGATAACCTCACTTTAATGTCATGCCGGTTACGTGAATTGTGTTAATTTTTAGGGGTAAATTTTAGTGATTGAAGAAGAATGTTAACTCTATGGAAATCCAGTTCTTTAAAATATCGCGCCATGAGCGCAAAAACCGGGTTTTGTTTTTCAACGTTCTTTCGAGAAGGTACAAGAAACTCAAGTTTGCTGTTAAATGTTATAAGCATGGGGAGAAAATCAAAAAGAAAACGTGATAAAATCTTAACATCAGCAATAAATGATAGAATATCTTCTATTAGAAATTCAGAGAATCAGAATGTACCAACAAATCTTGTACAAGATACACAGAAAAAGGTAACGCCAAAAAAAAAGGTGCAATCTTTAAGTCCCTGGAAAACTGTGGTAAGTTTCTATGAAGAATACTCGATACAACAAAAAATAAAGTTTAATTTATCACCACAATACGATAACATAAATAATTTTATTCAATGTACATTAAAATTAAAATATCCAATAAAAGTCAACATACGGTCTATTGGACAATCGAGAAAATTAGCTTTACAGAGCTGCTCCTTAGAAGTGTTACAAGTTTTAAAAGAAAACAATTTTATTAATGACAAAAAACTATTAACTTATAATGATTTTGTTGATGTTACCGCAAGATATGAGAATCAACGTAAATGGGGACCAACCAATCTTTTTAGAAGCGCTATTTTAGATATAAATAAAAATAATATGATCGCGCAAACTTCTTTAACACCTAAACGCAACATCACAACAACCTCGCGATATAATCTTAGAAGTTTAACATCAGAAAAACCAAAACCAGTTCAACCCAACCAATCAAGTTCAGATAAAATTGTTTTAACTCCAAAATCAACAATTCACAATTATTACAACATCATTTCATCTCAATTAAATAAAGACTATGGTGTTACAACATCTTATACTCACTTAAAACATCATCACTTACCTTGGGCTTGTACTTATCATGTAAAATGGCCTGAGGAGATTGTATTCACAAAATCTGGTTTTTCAAAAAAAGAAGCCGCCGGAAAAGTCTGCGTCGAAATTTTGAACTATTTACAGTCTTTAAATTTGATTAGCTCACGTGGTGTTCCAATTTTGAAAGAAGAAAAAATTAATGAAAAGCAACAATCAAAAATAATTAGTTTAAAAGATGATACAGTAAAACAATTAAATAAAATTAACATGATTTATCAAGAGAAATTGCTTAAAAGTCTACCTGATTATTCAATAAATCTAGATGATAGTTTAAATGAAGAGCGCAAAGAATTATTTTCAAATCAACGTCGAGCACAAAAAAAATCATTCATGCACATTATAGAAGAAAAAACTAATCTACCAATATCAAAATACAAGTAAACCAACAAATCTTAATTATTTAATTTTTTTTTGATGTTTATTTTTTGTAGAAATGACATTATTGAAGCTGTAAATAATAATCAAGTTACTATTATTAAAGGTGAACCTGGTTGTGGTAAAAGTACCAGAGTTCCTCAGTATCTTTTGGAAGGTTGGGCTAAAAGTCAGGATCAAGAACATTGCAAAATTCTTGTTACCCAACCTAGAAGAATAGCTGCTATTAGTTTAGCTGAACGTGTTTCATATGAAAGAAATGAACAGGTAAAAATATCATGCATAATAAAATTATAAGCATATTTTAAAAAGTTTTTCAAAAAAAGCTAACTCATACCTTAACCTTTGAGCTGGCCGATTTTATAACAGGAGCGGGCGCGTGTCATAAATTTTATGAAATCAGGTCCGTATTAATAAGTATTACGTTATTTTTAATAAAACATATTTTGCTAGAGTAAAATATTTAATTTATACAGGGTCATTCGCGACGACCGTCCATTAGAACTATACAGGGTTCTGGCCAAAATAAAAGTTTGATAATTCAGATTTAAGTATTATCAATTTCTAGCACTTCCGGTTATACCGGAAGTCGTCACTTACTTTATTTTTTTAAACGGTACACCTGTATATTTTTACATATTTGGATTTGTCTGTTTTCAAGGTTTATGATTTACTTTACTTTTTGCAATTTGATTCGGCCGTTCTCGAGTTATTCGAATTTTTCTAGAAAAATCTGCTTCAGTAGACATTTGTTCAAAAAATCAGAGAACACTCGATTTTTGGGATATCAATTTGGGATTCAGAACATGCTTAAGCAACATGATGGAGTATGTTTTGGTGCCGAGAACGGCTGTCTAGAACGTTTGGCCACTTTATTATGGCACGTTAACTTTTCGAAACTTGGAAGTACCATAACTTAATTTTTTTAAATGGCACCGGTCATATTTTATTACTTAGTCGTCTTGGGTGTCTCTTTTTACATGTCCTATACCTAGCATTTATAGTTTGGGAGATAATTAGGGTTTTTTGAAAAATGCACACATATCATATATATATATAATGAAGTGGGGGTTTAAAAATTTGCAGACCAGCTTTTTAACTATAATATTTTCATATTTCAAATGGAACACCCTGTATTTTAATACATTTTTTAAATTTTTGTTCAATTTTAGGCCACTTGTATGTTACATACACTATACCTAAGTTGAGTCATTTTTGAGATTTTAATTTTTTGTAATCAAAATCAAGTACAAGGTAACTTTCTATAATTTATAAATCATTCAATGTCATTCAAATCTCAGTTTTGACATTACAATTTTTTTTGTGATGTAAAATGATCGAATTTGACAGTTACAATATCAATTGGTAGCAGAAAATAAGCTAAATATGTCATTTAGAATATCAAACTGTCAATTTTGTCTTTAAGCTATCATTTAGATGGTACTTTTGACATTAAAATCTTCGTGAGATGCAAAATAATCAAATTTTACACTTAAAACGTCAATTGGTAGCAAAAATTGAGGTTGACCTGTCATTAAGAAAGTCAAATTGCAAGAAAATTGTATTTTAATCTTCAATATGTCATTCAAATGTCAGTTTTGACGTAAAAATTTTCTTGTGATGCAAAATGATCGAATTTTACCGTTAGAACGTCAATAGGTAGCAAAAATTGAGGTTGACCTGTCATTAAATATGTCAAACTGTCAATTTTATCTTTAAGTTATCATTTAGATGTTACTTTTGGCATTAAAATCTTCGTGTGATGCAAAGTAATCAAATTTTACAGTTAGAACGTCAATTGGTAGCAAAAATTGAGGTTGACCTGTCATTAAAAATGTCAAACTGTCAATTTTATCTTTAAGTTATCATTTAGATGTTACTTTTGGCATTAAAATCTTCGTGTGATGCAAAATAATCAAATTTGACAGTTAGAACGTCAATTGGTAGCAAAAATTGAGGTTGACCTGTCATTAAGAATGTCAAATTGTAAGAAAATTGTAATTTAATCTTCAATATGTCATTCAAATGTCAGTTTTGACGTTAAAATTTTCTTGTGATGCAAAATGATCGAATTTTACAGCTAGAACGTCAATTGGGGCAAAAATTGAGGCCGACTTGACATTAAAAATGTCAAACTGTGAATTTTATCCTTAAGTTATCATTTAGATGTTACTTTTGGCATTAAAATCTTCGTGTGATGCAAAATAATCAAATTTTACAGTTAGAACGTCAATTGGTAGCAAACATTGAGGTTGACCTGTCATTAAGAATGTCAAATTGTACGAAAATTATAATTTAATCTTCAATGTCATTCAAATGTCAGTTTTGACGTTAACATTTACTTGTGATGCAAAATGATCGAATTTTACAGTTAGAACGTCAATTGGTAGCAAAAATTGAGGTTGACCTGTCATTAAATATGTCAAACTGTCAATTTTATCTTTAAGTTATCATTTAGATGTTACTTTTGGCATTAAAATCTTCGTGTGATGCAAAATAATCAAATTTTACACTTAAAACGTCAATTGGTAGCAAAAATTGAGGTTGACCTGTCATTAAGAATGTCAAATTGTAAGAAAATTATAATTTAATCTTCAATATGTCATTCAAATGTCAGTTTTGACGTTAAAATTTTCTTGTGATGCAAAATGATCGAATTGTACAGTTAGAACGTCAATTGGTAGCAAAAATTGAGGATGACCTGTGATTAAGAATGCCAATTTGTAGGAAAATTGTAATTTAATCTTCAATATGTCATTCAAATGTCACTTTTGACGGTAAAATTTTCTTATGATGCAAAATGATCGAATTTTACAGTTAGAACGTCAATTGGTAGCAAAAATTGAGGTTGACCTGTCATTAAGAATGTCAAATTGTAAGAAAATTGTAATTTAATCTTCAATATGTCATTCAAATGTCAGTTTTGAAGTTAAAATTTTCTTGTGATGCAAAATGATCGAATTTTACAGTTAGAACGTCAATTGGTAGCAAAAATTAAGGTTAATCTGTCATTAAAAATGTCAAACTGTCAATTTTATCTTTAAGGTATCATTTAGATGTTACTTTTGGCATTAAAATCTTCGTGTGATGCAAAATAATCAAATTTTACAGTTAGAACGTCAATTGGTAGCAAAAATTGAGGTTGACATGTCATCTAGAATGTCAAACTGCAAGAAAATCGTAAATTTAATCTTTAAGATGCCATTCACATAACACTTTTGATATTAAAATCTTCTTGTGATGCAAAATGATCAAATTTGATAGTTAGAACGTCAATTGGGAGCAGAAAGTAAAGTAAATATGTCCTTTAGAATGTCATATTGTTAATTTTGTCTTTAAGCTATCATTTAGATGTCACTTTTGACATTAAAATCTTCCTGTGAAGAACTAGGAAGCTTTCTAGTTCTAGGTCTAGTGTTAGTTCTAGTTTTAGTTCAATAAAATATGCAACATAGTGATTCCTTATGCTAACTAGCGCTACCTACCATTGTCACTAGAACTAACATTAAACCTAGAACTAGAAACATTCGGATTTAGCCGCACGTCTCTCAAGACGGCTAAACCCGAATGATTCTAGTTCTAGGTCTTGTGTTAGTTCTAGTGATAGTGNTAAGAAAATTGTAATTTAATCTTCAATATGTCATTCAAATATCAGTTTTGACGTTAAAATTTTCTTGTGATGCAAAATGATCGAATTTTACAGTTAGAACTTCAATTGGTAGCAAAAATTGAGGTTGACCTGTCATTAAGAATGTCAAATTGTAAGAAAATTGTAATTTAATCTTCAATATATCATTCAAATATCAGTTTTGACGTTAAAATTTTCTTGTGATGCAAAATGATCGAATTTTACAGTTAGAACGTCAATTGGGGCAAAAATTGAGGCCGACTTGACATTAAAAATGTCAAACTGTCAATTTTATCTTTAAGTTATCATTTAGATGTTACTTTTGGCATTAAAATCTTCGTGTGATGCAAAATGATCGAATTTTACAGTTAGAACGTAAATTGGTAGCAAAAATTGAGGTTGACCTGTCATTAAGAATGCCAATTTGTAGGAAAATTGTAATTTAATCTTCAGTATGTCATTCAAATGTCACTTTTGACGTTAAAATTTTCTTGTGATGCAAAATGATCGAATTTTACAGTTAGAACGTCAAGTGGTAGCAAAAATTGAGGTTGATCTGTCATTAAGAATGTCAAATTGTAAGAAAATTGTAATTTAATCTTCAATATGTCATTCAAATATCAGTTTTGACGTTAAAATTTTCTTGTGATGCAAAATGATCGAATTTTACAGTTAGAACGTCAATTGGTAGCAAAAATTGAGGTTGACCTGTCATTAAAAATGTCAAACTGTCAATTTTATCTTTAAGTTATCATTTAGATGTTACTTTTGGCATTAAAATCTTCGTGTGATGCAAAATAATCAAATTTAACAGTTAGAATGTCAATTGGTAGCAAACATTGAGGTTGACCTGTCATTAAAAATGTCAAACTGTCTATTTTATTGGCAATTGTAGCCTCCAGGTTCATCATGGTGAGTATTAATAGGATAAAAAAGAATAAGTCCACGATGATTATTTATTATTTTTTTCTAATTTCGGTACAATAATGTTTCGCTTTTTCTAAAAACGTCTTCAGGTACGACTAGAATAATATGGAACATAATTATTACTAGTGGACGGGTTTTTTTGTTGGTGATATAAAATTAAAAATTATAAAAAGTTCTTACCGTCAAAAACTAAGAATGATGAACATGTGAAAAAATGATCAAGTGGAAAAATTTCTCTTACAAAAAACTACGACGGACCGATGATTAAAAATATAATTTTGGATTAAAGAAAAAAGTGAAATTTTTTTGAAAACGGCGTGGGTTTACCATGTCAGGTTAAAAACTCCAATAATCATCGTGGACTTATTCTTTTTTATCCTATTAATATGTCTATTTTATCTTTAAGTTATCATTTAGATGTTACTTTTGGCATTAAAATCTTCGTGTGATGCAAAATGATCGAATTTTACAGTTAGAATGTCAATTAGTAGCAAAAATTGACGTTGACCTGCCATTAAGAATGTCAAATTGTAATTTAATCTTCAATATGTCATTCAAATGTCAGTTTTGACNAGCACTAGAACTAGAAACATTCGAGTTTAGCCGCACGTCTCTCAAGACGGCTAAACCCGAATGATTCTAGTTCTAGGTCTTGTGTTAGGTCTCCGACAAAATTGTCATTACGACCCTGTATTTTTCAAAAATGTACAAACGTTCCGAAACCTTCATTTATGACTCAAAACCTGTTTATAATACATTTATATCTCTTAATACATCCCAAATACAAATACAGCTTTATAAATTAGCAGTTAATGTGTAAATTTTTTCTATTTTATAACTTTTTTTGTCATAAAGACAACGTCAATATATTTTTTTTTATCATGTCTAAAAGACATAGTTACATGAATACTTTAGCGTTAAATCCTTTCAAATGCATAATATAAGGAGATATATTATAAAAATGAAAATTGTCATAAATTTTATGACGGTGCGCCCGCTCGAAGTTTTAACCTTCGATTTATAACCAAGTCTATATAAACTTATGTAATTATTATTATTTTACATTTAGGTTGGAAAAACTGTTGGATATCAAGTTCGTTTACAAAATTCATTTTGTCCACGATTGGGAAAAATTCTATACTGTACAACAGGAATTCTTTTACGAAAAATGCAAGCAGATCCACATCTCTTAGACNCAAAAATTGAGGTTGACCTGTCATTAAGAATGTCAAATTGTAAGAAAATTGTAATTTAATCTTCAATATGTCATTCAAATGTCAGTTTTGACGTTTGACGTGTCCAAAAGACATAGTTACATGAATACTTTAGCGTTAAATCGTTTCAAATGCATAATATAAGGAGATATATTATAAAAACGAAAATTGTCATAAATTTGATGACAGCGCGCCCCCTCGAAGGTTAAAAAACGATTTATAACCAAGTCTATGTAAACTTATGTAATTATTATTATTTTACATTTAGGTTGGAAAAACTGTTGGATATCAAGTTCGTTTACAAAATTCATTTTGTCCACGATTGGGAAAAATTCTATACTGTACAACAGGAATTCTTTTACGAAAAATGCAAGCAGATCCACATCTCTTAGACTGTTCTCACGTAATTCTAGATGAAGCACACGAAAGGGATGTAAACACCGATTTGTTAATGAATCTTTTACGTTCAGGTTTGGAGAAGAATAAAAACTTAAAACTTGTTGTTATGTCCGCTACAATTGATGCGGGAATTTTCCAAGAATATTTTAAATCGTCCCCAGTTTTTAATATTCCTGGTTTTACATATCCCGTAAAACAACATTTTATTAACAACGCTAATTCATTAAATTTTTCGAAAACTTTGGAAATGTGCGAATCTAAAATTCCGCACGTTGTTTGCCCAGAAGTGGTAAAACTAATCGATTATATTCATAACAATAAAGGAGATGGTGCGATTTTGTGCTTTTTACCTGGTTGGGAAGAGATTAAAACGATTGCGGAGTTACTAGAAGATCGTCGCGATATTCGTACGTTATGTTTACATTCCAGGCTCTCGATGGTGGAACAAAAATTAATATTTTCAAAACCCCCTCGAGGAATGCGCAAAGTTATTTTATCAACAAATATTGCTGAAACTTCCGTAACCGTGGATGATGTTGTTTACGTCATTGATACAGGAATACAGAAGGAAACTAGATTTGATATAACCAAAGGCGTAACTTGTTTAGATAAATCTTGGATTTCCCAAGCAAATGTTAAACAGAGAAAAGGACGAGCCGGAAGATGTCAACCTGGCGAAAGTTTTCATCTATATCCTAAAGAAAAATGCGAACACTTCGAAGAATATCCACTACCAGAAATTTTAAGAACATCCCTCACAAAAATCGTTCTTGATAGTAAAGTTTACAGTAACAATATGAACGCAATCGAATTCATGAGCCAGTTAATTTCACCACCAAGCGATGATGCTATAAAATTGGCTGTTAAAGAATTGATTGATTTGGAACTTTTAGATATAGATGAAAATTTAACAACACTTGGTCGCGCATTAGCCAATTTTCAATTAGAGCCGAAATTAGCTAAAACTATGGTAAATGCAATGGTTTTCAAATGCGTTACCCCAATAATCGATATTGTTACGTTATTTTCTGAAGAAAAAGAACTCTTTATGGGCGGATTACGTTGCAAGGAAACGGTTAAAAAAATTAAAAAAGCTTTTTGTAGTAGCAGCGATCATTTATCTTTAATGAAAATCTTTGAAAAATGGTTAGAATACATCGAAACTGATGAAATTAATGCAGCGCAACGATTTTGTTTAAGAAATAATTTAGTTGAATCAAAATTGCATACTTTACAACGTGAGAGGTTTTATTATAATAAATTTATACAGTAAATTTCATATACAACTAATATTTGTATAGAAACCAGGGTGTATCTATTTGCTTTGTCCAACATAAAATGCAACATGTCTCAATGTTTTTGGTTGTAGGTCTAATGTTAGTTTTAGTGACAGTGGTAGGCAGCGCTAATTAATATAAAATATTAAAATCCCTAGATTATCAAAGTACCGCGGTTCATGAAGCCTGTGTATTCGAAATATTCGAGCCAAAATGACGGTTTGACAGCTTGTCAGTGCATGTTTTACAAAAATAATGCCGTCGTGTTGCCTTTGGAGTTGCAAAAATAGCAGTAAGAAGGGCTTTCGACTCTTCAGAGTACCACGAGAAAAAAAAAATAAAGGAAACTTGGCATAATTTTATCAACAAAACGTCATAGTTTTAAATTTCCCGCTTGATTTTCGAGCCAAAATGGCGGCAAACCACTGTACTTTGTAAATCTAGGGACTTTATAAAATATCATTATGTTTCATATTTTTATTGAACTAAAACAAGAACTAACATTAGACCTAGAACTAGAAACTTATCATAAGGACGTCTCTTTTTTTCCAAGCAAAAGTTTTCCTTTGCAAAACTACCCAATGCCTGTACTATTAAGCTATGTTGCGTTTTATATGGGACAGTGCAAGTTCATATATTGCGAGTTATATGAAATTCCCTGTATAAACTACAACTAGAACTAATGCTCGATCTAGAACTAGACAGTTTCGGGTTAAGCCATGCGTTTTTTGGAAAAGCGTTTGACGAATCAGTTAGTTTGACAAAATATGTTAACTAAGTTTTTGTGAAAACCTGTAAGTTAGGCCATCCTGTTGTTAAACTGGGACTCTTGGTGACTTTGTGCAGCAATCTCCAATCGCGGAAATATCTCCCCAGGGTGGCTAGGTCATTTATTGGTATTTGCTCAGTAGTCACCAATTCTTTATGATTGGTAGTCAGCATCCAGTTGTCTGCGTATCCGTTTTTTTTTGATGTTATGGAGCCTTATTGCTCATGATGACTTACATCATATACAGCAGTGGTGTCCATAACATCGATAAAATCATAAATCTGAAATATCTATATCTGAACCTCAGAGCAAAAAAAAAGGAAGGTTAAACCCTTCGGTTGATCTTGGCAAGATATTTATATAAAAAGTCGATTTTGATCAAAAATTAGTGGACACCACTGCTCTAAATAGATTAAACGTCAAAATTGTTGATTTTAGAAAATTAACTCAATTATAACTCAAAAACTATAAGCGATGGGGAAATATTTTTTATACATAAAACCTTAGTAATGGACCATAAAGACTAGATCCATAAAAAGATTGAACCCAATTATTACCATTTTTTATTTATAAGCTCTAAACCGATTAAACATCAAAATTGTTGATTTTCGAAAATTAACTCAATCATAACTCAAAAACTAAAAGCGATGGAGAAAAACTTTTTATACATAAAACCTTAGTAATGGACCATAAAGACTAGATCCATAAAAAGATTGAACCCAATTATTACCATTTTTTATTTATAAGCTCTAAATCGATTAAACATCAAAATTGTTGATTTTCGAAAATTAACTCAATCATAACTCAAAAACTAAAAGCGATGGGGAAATACTTTTTATACATAAAACCTTAGTAATGGGCCATAAAGACTAAATCCATAAAAAGATTGAACCCAATTATTACCATTTTTTATTTATAAGCTCTAAATCGATTAAACATCAAAATTGTTGATTTTCGAAAATTAACTCAATCATAACTCAAAAACTAAAAGCGATGGGGAAATACTTTTTATACATAAAACCTTAGTAATGGGCCATAAAGACTAGATCCATAACAAGATTGAACCCAATTATTACCATTTTTTATTTATAAGCTCTAAATCGATTAAACATCAAAATTGTTGATTTTCGAAAATTAACTCAATCATAACTCAAAAACTAAAAGCGATGGGGAAATACTTTTTATACATAAAACCTTAGTAATGGGCCATAAAGACTAGATCCATAACAAGATTGAACCCAATTATTACCATTTTTTATTTATAAGCTCTAAATCGATCAAACATCAAAATTGTTGATTTTCGAAAATTAACTCAATTATAACTTAAAAACTAAAAGTGATGGGGAAATACTTTTTAGATGGCCTCAGAGCAAAAAAAAGGCAAGACATTTATATAAAAAGTCGATCTTGATCAAAAATTAGTGGACACCACTGGTATACAGAAACATCAAACACTTTTTCAAAAGAACTCGAAATATTCTAATTCTAGTGAAAGTGAAACCTTCTAAAATTTATTTATTTATTTTAGAATTAAGAGATATTCATTTTGAATACTTAGAAAAATATTTGAAAAATGTTTTACCAATTTCTGATGATTTATCTGATAATGATGAGTTGATAAAAGGAGTTTTACTATCTGGTGTTGGTACTTTAATGGAATACTCATCAAAAGTAAAAGGAAAAAAGAAAAAACACGTTTTATTAACAAGGTAAGAAAATTTTTAATATTTTTCGTCCAATTATTTAATACTTTCATTCGCCTTTTAGAAGTGGTCATAATGCAGTAATCACAACTGAAAGCGTTAATAGCAGACGCGCTTCATATTCAAGTGATTACTTAATTTATATAAATGAAGTTGTTTCAAACGTTCGAAGAACTAGTGTAATTAGAGAAACAAGTTTAGTCTCATTGCTTACCCTACTTTTATTTAAAAACAATAAAATAATTATAGAAAATGTATTTATTACTGTTTTTAGTTCATTTAAAAATTTATTATTATATGTTTTTTAGTTACCTCAAAATGAACATTCCTCTGACATTAACTCAACCGATCAAGTACTTTTAAAGTTAGAGAATACTAAATATAAATACATCTGTGATAGAAGGTAACATATTTTATAAGTTTATTTATTATATTAATTAATTTTATTTTCAGCCAAGCGGAGGCGATACAAAGTTGTAAAGAAGTTTTGCAATCAATGTTACAATATTACATCTTTCAATTAACAAACAGTGGTGTTTATAATGAAAATGTCAATAAAAATTGGGATGAAATGTTAAATATACTTAATAGTCTCTTAGAGGATGTTAAGATTTCGTAATTTTTTTTAGATAGCCAGATTATTTTATTGTCAGTTGATAATCAACTGCTATGTGTTTTGATTTTGTTTTAATAAATATTTTCTTATCGTTGCTGTAATACTTAGCGTTTTATTAACTTTCTTTTGGGTGCTATTGGCATTACAGGCACAATTAAAATGAAGCCTATGAAGTGTAGCACTTCCTGTTAATTTACTCTTTTTACGTGTAAGGAAGGTAATATCAGTAATAAGAAAGCTACTGATTCACGCAAATATGGTGTTCTGTATCTCAGTACCCGTCTTATACTAAATTTCAACGAACTAACTCCGATCGAGTTTCAGCACCTGAACAATAATTTTTTACGTTATTTAATCTTTGAATATTTAATTTTTAATACTGTTTTACTTGTGTGATGTTTTATACACAAGTTATTAATCTATAAATTTGGGTTTCTTTAATTTTAAGAGACTCTTATTAAAAAAAACTCAGAGTTTCGGGCAAGTTCAGGTTCAAAAGAATGTTAATCAGGTTCGACAAAAAAATCATTTAATTAACACAAAATCAAATTAACTCCTTTTATGAGTAACAAAAAAAAATGGTTTTCCTAAATTTACTTTAATAACAATGCTTATTTACGAGAGATAAATTTTTAAATAAAATAGATAACAGCGGTTATCGACTAAAATATCGATATTAGAGAGAACCCGTTTATTATTTGAGAGAGAGAGAGTAGGATAAAACTAGTTAGAACCAAAATTGGCTTGTGTGCATAAGTTTCAGCACAATTGTTGCTACAGCAATTAATGTAAGGTCAGGTAAATATTAAAATTTTAATATAACTATAGTAACAACTTCACTTATACATTTTTATTTTATGAATGTTTTAGGATGGAGCACATAAGACCAACAATCAGAATGTGATAATGCTTTAAGATTGGAAACGAATTAGGAACATAAATTATAATGTGATACAGAACATAAACTCTCTAGTCTGAATTAGTACACATAACTGAATTAATGTTAATTTTGGTGATATTCTTAACATTTCTAACTACTTTAATTGTAAATTTCAGTTATTTTATTTATTATTATTTCTGTTTATAGCTCTATAGATAGAAAATTGTTTATTATCTTAGTTTTAAGTTTTTTATTGTTCAAAACTGTACTTTTATTTTACAACATTCAATATTTAAATAAAATTTTTAAGTATACAACATACACTTCTTAATTGCCCTAAAATCAAAAAATTATCTGAAAAGTTTTTTTAGAATAAAAAATATGTCACAATTGAAATTGGCGGTATTAGATATTAGTATGGAATCAAGCATTTGGTGGCGCTAGTGCTGAGCGACAAAAATTCAACGCTAATGTCACATCTATACATTATCTATGGTTAGAACCATATATATACTATCTTCTATATCGCTGACTCCCTATCTAAGCAATGAGTGGCGAGCGTTTCCATCAAAAGAAGACGGAATGATATATGTTTTGTCTTTGTCGTACCCCGGTGTCGTGAAAGCGCTAGCGCGAATCGTAAATTTTAAAGAGTGTGAAGTGTTTCGCGCGTATTTTATGCAGCTTTAAAATGCAATTATTATTATAGATGGTTTACTTTAACTATAAATTATCACTGATGCATCAAATAAATTAGAGTATATGTACTCTAAATGTTTATAAAGAAAAATGTTTCAAGAAAAGGAGGACTTTGAATTCTTTTTTATTACACTGAGACCTTTCCTTCTACCTGCTCAACCAATTTTTAGGACCCAAAAATATCTCCACTACTCTTTTTCTTTTTTATTTTACTTTTAACACATTTGCTTCACTTTCTTAACAAATAACAATTACATTTTAAATTGCTTAGTCCTAAAATATGTTAATAATTATGTTATTATACACATGAAACCTATAATATACATAACTAAATATTTAGATTTTAGGTTATGTTTATGTCAAACATTTATTTGTTGATTTATAAACATCAAGGTCATCAGCTGCTATTAATTTTTAATTCACCGTCCAATAAGATAAAAGCGTACTCATCACGTGTTCACACATGTCTCTTGAGTCGACGGGGGTACGACAAAGACAGATATATATATATCTGCACTCTAGTGTTTACACTCTTTTGCTGCCTTAGTCAGCGATATAGAAGATAGTATATATATG